CCACGGGATGTCAAAAGACCGCGTGGCCGCCCACCTACCAGATGGTCAGACTTCTTCGTGAAGATCTTGAACGATCGGTTTGAGGCTCTTCATGTTCCCAGAGCGAACAGATGCCATTGGGCTACACTAGCACGCGACAGGGACAAATGGAGACGTTACTGGCACCCGCTCGAGCAAATCAACGACTAACGGGAAGTTAAGTGATTAAGTGATTAAGTGATTAAGTGATAACTGTACCTCATGGTGTTTCACTAATAAAAAAATTGAAAACAAAAAAAAGTATTTCACGGGGCTGGAGCATGTACAGCAGGTAGAGCGGTTGCCTTGCATGCGGCCAACCCTAGTTCAATCCCCAGAATCCCATGTGGTTCCCTGAGCACTTACTGCCAGAGTAAGTCCTGAGTTCAATGTCAGGTGTAAACCCTGACCATTGCTGGGTATGGCCCCAAACCAAAAGTAAACAAACAAACTAAAAGTACCTCACAAATATTTTAAGTGAAAACTATTTTCAGATGACTACTTAAAACCAGGTACAGTCCCTGAGCAGAGCCCCAGCAGCCGAAGACCTCCAGAAACAGCCACAACCATGCTGAGACCACTCTCCACACGCATGAAGGTACTGGCAGAGGAACAAAGGTATAAAGGCATGCGGGTCTCGGGACTGAGATCTCCAAGCCTGCTTGGATTGGGGCTGAGCATCCTCCACCCAGATCCTCCATCTTCCAGTAGGCAAGGGTCACACCCACCAACTGCCCCCCCACCTCTGGCGCCATGTAATCCCATCAACGGCCCAGACCCAGAGACTATAAAACTCAGCTCCCGAAAGCTTTCAGCTGCATTTGTGGCCACGCAACATCTTATTATCTCATTCTTACTTTGGACAACCTGGCAGGCTACCGAATGTAACCTGCCCACAGGGCGGAGTCTGGCAAACTCCCGTGGCGTACCCAATATGCCAAATACCAGTAACAATGATGGGTCCCATTCTCCTAACCCTGAAAGAACCTTGAATATGGCACTTTTTTAAATCTCAGGGCTAGGGCGAAGGAGACGTTACTGGTGCCTGCTCGAGGCAATCGACGATTAACAGGATGATCGTGATCGTGACTTCAAACCAAGTCCATGGTTTTGTGGAGGAAGAAAGGGGAGGAGAGGGCAGGGGACGGCAAGGGAGGGCAGGGGAGAGGATTTGTTGCAGGAATTTGACCCCACACTGTACAGGAACTGGTCCATGATTCCTCTAAAGTACGTGTCTGGAGATGGAGAGATAGTCCGAGGGAGGAGGCGCTCGCCTTGTATCTGGCCAACCCTGATTCCTTCCAGCACCAGGAACAGTCCTTGAGCACTGCTGGGTGTGTCCCCCACCCCCAAAAGAAGATCCTTATTAAATGTGTGTTGAATGAAGAGTTGAATTAACTGAAAAATAGGATGGGGACAGAGCTGAGCAAGACCCACGTTGGATCTGGCATCACTGGGAGTGGCCTCCTAACCCTTCCCTTCAAAAAAAATTTAGCACTTTTAGCACTGTCAGCCCGTTGTTCATTGACTTGCTCGAGCGGGCCCAGTAACGTCTCCATTGTGAGACTTGTTGTTACTGTGTTTGGCATATCGAATACGTCATGGGGAGCTTGCCAAGCTCTGCCGTGTGGGTGAGATACTCTCGGTAGCTTGCCGGGCTCTCCGAGAGGGGCGGAGGAATCGAACCCGGCTCGGCCAGGCTGGCTGCACGCAAGGCAAAAGCCCTACCTCTGTGCTATCGCTCCAGCCCTTCAAAAATAAATAAATAAATAAATAAATAATTTAAAAAACAACTCATTTCCCCTATACACCCTGCCCCCAAATAAAACCATTACAGAATAAAGAATGACTCATCCCTCCTTGCCAGGGAATCATCTAGACCAAGCCTTGCTGAGTGATGAGCCCCTTACCCAACTGAAGAAAACACCACATGACATTCTCTTCCGGTCCCCGCTCTGCCTCACTTGCTGGTTGTGCCTTCCCGCTCCCTAAACCACACGCCAGGGCTGGCATGGACCAGCTCTGCCTCAGTGCCAACCTCTGCTCTGGTTCTGACATTTGGCTCTTGTTCCTGTTTGAAGGAAATGAATGCAGTGCCATGTACAATCTACATGCTTATGTTTGTGGCTCCATTGTGTACACCAAGAAAATATGGTACACACATGTACACACACACACACACACGAACACAATTCAGCCCTTAAATAGGTGGAAGGTGGGAAGTCTGCACACACACACACACCCTTTTTTTTTTTTTGGGTCACACCCAGTGATGCACAGGGGTTACTCTAAGTCTGCCCTTTTGCACTCTGTGATAACATGGATAAAATCTATTGGGCATTATGAAACAAGGCAGACACGGTGGCAACGAGACTCTGATCTCACTAAACCGTGGGAAGCAAGAACTGAAGAACAACGTGGAGGAGCATGTGGCTGCCAGAGACAGAGACTTGGAAGAAGGAGACATTTCCAAAATAAAGAAATTAAAATGGTATGGCCAGAGGAAAGCGAAGGCATCATGGAGAGGCTGGTGACCGCTCAGTTTTGCAAGATGAAAAACGTGCTGAAAGGGCAAGGTCATGAGGGTTGCACAATGTATAATATTTGACTAAAGTTATTTACCGAAAATATTTATCATGGCAAGGTATCACCGGCATTTAATACTTAACTAGTTCTAAACATGCCATCAAGGGGCCACTAATCCTGTCACCTACTTGTCCAACCATTGCCACCATCCATCTCTAGCATCTTTCATCTTCCCAGGCTGGGGATGCTATTTGGCACTTGAGAGCTTGTCTTGCCTGTGTGAGATTCAGGTGCCCTTCCCAGCGCTGCAAAAGAAATAATTTTAAAGATTTAAAATGAAATAGAATCACCTGCATTGCAACTTCGTCTTTTGCCGTTCCTGGTCTTATCCTTTAGCGGCTGAGTGGTTTCCTCCTGAGTGGAGGCTGAATGGGGTAGGACAGAAGCCAGACCCTGGCTCACTCAGGCTGTGGCTGACCATGGGATTAAGAAGCTTGCCTTGCATGTGGCCGTCCCTGGTGCTATCCCATACAATAGGATGAGCCTCTGCAGCAGTGACCTCTGAGCCAGCAGTAAGCCATGCATTCCACCAGATGTGACCCATCCTTCTCTCCCCTCCTCCCCGCAGCCCTTAGCCCTCCGTTCCTCCCCAGAAAGAAGTAGCCCAGCTACTGTAGCTTTTAAGTGACTAGGGAGGACAACTCTTGGTACATTTAATGTACTCTCATTGTCTGCTACTGAAAGCTCTTAGGGACAAAAATTAACATTAAGGGTGTCATCAAAGGCCAGAGAGATAGTACAGCGACCCAGGTTTGATCTTCCAGCATCCCATAGGGTCTTCCAAGCACCGCCAGGAGATATTCCTGAGTGCAGAGCCGGGAGTAACCCCTGAGCATCGCCGGTGTGGCCCAAACAAGAAGAAAAATATTATCAAGGCTCAATAGTATGTGAGTGAATCGTCCCTTCCTTTCTTCGTTCTATCCTTCACTCCTCGCCCGAGTCTCTACCCCATTCCCAGGCTCGAGGGGTTCTTTCCCTGTGGTGCTGGAGGCCACCAAGGGGAACGGGGAGGAAGGACCATTTGTAGCTGAGAGTTAAGTATCCACTGTAAGGGCGCCCCAGAGCGGGGTGGGTAAGACCCCCTCCCCGCCCCAAGGGACCCAGCCCAGTAGCTGGTAACCTCCAGAACCCACCCGCCATCCTGCTCACGGCCGCTCTCCACATGCTCAGGCCAAGCCTCACCCATGAGTGAACCTGCAGAAAACCCAGGTTTGCAGGACTCTGTGACTGAGAACTCTGGCTTCAGTGGGACTGGGAACAGAGATCCTCTGCCCATATCTCCACGCCACGCCCTTCCTCCTCATCACCGGGGTCTCATCAGTCATGCCCAGAAGCAACCTCTGGCTGGCGCCAGATAATCTCATCATCAGCCACCATCCAGATCATACATCGTTCTCTCCCAGAAGGGAGCAACATGACACTTGCCATAACCATGCCACAGGACCCCACGCCAGGCAGTTTCACTTGGGGAGACCCAGAGTAGGGCAGATGAGACCCCGCCCTGCCCTAAGGGACCCAGCCCCAGCAACTGAAAATCCCCAGAACCCACCCACTGTCCTGCTCCCAGCTGCTCTCCACCTGCTCGAGCTGAGTCTCACCTACCAGCGAACCTTTCCCTGGACCACAAGACACTTCATAGGACACACCCTACCCATAATCGAAGAGTACCGCACCACATTTAATGGGATTCAAAGTAGGAGGCAACCACCCTTAGAGGGAAATATTATATTAATTCAGTTCTGTTCTGGGACAAGGGTTGGGGTTCAGGATGGAAACACCCAAAAGATAGTGGTGGGAAGGTGCCGTGATGGTGGGATTGGTGTTTGAATATTACATGTAATCAAATATTGTGACCTGCACTGTAGCAGTGTCCTCACGTTGTTCATCGATTTGCTCGAGCAGGCACCAGTAACGCCTCACAACAAATTATGAGACTTGTTGTTACTGTTTTTGGCATATCAAATACATCACGGGTAGCTTGCCAGGCTTTGTGGGCATTGTCATCTATTTTATAAAATAGGCACTGACCCCTATATATTTTTAGTTTTCTTTTTTTTTTTTTTTTGGCTTTTTGGGTCACACCCAGCGATGCACAGGGGTTACTCCTAGTTCAGGCCCTCAGGTATTACTCCCGGCAGTGCTCGGGGGACCATATGGGATGCTGGGAATCGAACCCGGGTTGGCTGCGTGCAAGGCAAACGCCCTACCCGCTGTGCTATAAAATTTTTTAAATTTTAAAAAAAAAGGTATTCACCATGAAACCCGGAATGCAGCCATGACAGGCTACAGTTCCCCCCAAGACTACATTTCCCATCAGACCCCGCTCCCTGTCGGACTACATTTCCCGTGAGGCCGCGCGGCGCGCGCGGGGCACCCTGGGAAGCGTAGTCCTCGCGAGCATGGCGGCGCCCAGTTGGGGCGCGTTCGTTCGCGCCGAGTTGGGGCCGGGGCGGGGTTCGGGGCTTTAGGCAGTAAGTGGGGTCGGCGGCCGCGGAGTCCGGGGGGCGCCGCGGGGTGGGGGGCGCGGGTGGAGGAGGGCGCGGGCGGACGGGGGGCGCGGGGCCCCGCCTGGGAGCTCGAGCCCCGGGCCCGGCCGCGGACGCGCATCCCGGGGACCCCCCGCCCGGGACACGGGCCGGGCGGTCACTGCACCTCGGCGGCGGCCGTCGCCTCGGGACCTGCCCCCACCCCCCACGTGCTCCCCCGCGCGCCCCGAGCGAGGCCCGACGCCCCCCGCCCGGGCCCGACGTCGGTGCGGGACCCCCCCCCCCCCCGCCTGGCCCCGGCGCGCCTCCCCCCTCCCCCACCCCGGTCCCCCAAGGCGGGGACCCCGGGGTCCCGAGGGTCCTGGCGATCTCCCGCACCCGTGGGAGTCTCTGAAGTGTCGAATCTGCTGCAGACGGTGTGAAAAGCTGAGATTTCGCCAGGGATCGGGTTTGGGCTTCGCCCCACGCCCCCCACCCCCGCCACCCCCCACCTTATCAGCTCTGAGCATCCGGGCTTGGCTGTGCCAGCCCCCCCCCCTTACCCCATTAGCCCCCCTTGGATGCAGGAATAGGACTGGATTTTTTTTTTCTTCCTCAACCCCTTCCCCCCACCCCCACTCTGATGCCACTGTGCCTTCCAAAAAAAAACAGCTGCACTTCATTGGGCACAGCTGACCCCTGTGCCCTGGGACATTGCCTTGTCCTTTGGGGCCCGATAGATCAGGGCACGTCTGGGTCGGATCCCAGAACCCATGTGGTAAAAGCCCGCTTCCCACCAGGAGGGATCCCTGAGCGCAGAGCTCGGAGTAAGTCTTGAGCACCGCCAGGTGTGGTCCGAAATCCCAAAAAAAAAAAAAATGGCATTTGATTGTTTCTGTGTCCCTATGTGATAGATGGCACCTGGTATGACCTAGTGTTAGACTTGAGAGCGGAGGGTAAGTAACCGGCAGCCGTGAGAAAGATCCGGGTCTTTAGCGCCTGTCGGCCCAAGTGACTCTATGTCCATAGCAAGGACATTTGTCATTGTCATTACTCTCAAGTGTAAAAGTCAGAGCTGGCGGGAGAGGGGGGGCTGGTGGTGTATTCTAAAAATCAGAACACTGATATATAACGTGTCGTTCTTTCAAGGGGAGTATTTAGTGTCACAATGTTTGGGGACCTGTTTGAAGAGGATTATTCCAGTGTGTCAGATAATCAGTATGGAAAAGGGAAGAAGTCACAGACCCCAGCTTTGGAACCACCTGCCCCTAGAGAATCCACCAATTTAAGTGGAATCAGAAATCAGGGTGGAACCTGCTACCTCAATTCCCTTCTCCAGACTCTTCACTTCACACCTGAATTCAGAGGTATGCGCTGTCACGGGCATTGGTCCTAATACGCTCCCGCGTCCCGACACGTAGGCGGGTGTGTGAGCGCAGGTTGCCGAGTACCTGAGCGGTATTCCGCGGGCCTGTTTGCTCTTGCTGATGCCAGAACAGATTGGGAATTCTCTGTCCAGAGAAACGTGAAGTTTCAGTTACCTTAAATATATTCTGTGTGGGGGGCTGGAGCGATAGCACAGCAGGTAGGGCGTTTGCCTTGCACGCGGCTGACCCAGGTTCGATTCCCGGCATCCCATAGGATCCCGGCCGACCCAGGTTCGATTCCCGGCATCCCATAGGGTCCCCTGAGCACCGCCAGGGATGATTCTTGACTGCAGAGCCAGGAGTGACCCCTGTGTATCGCCGGGTGTGATCCAAAAAAAAAAAAAAATTCTGTGTGATCACAGGAACGTATGTAACAACAAAAAGAGTAAGGCACGTACTGCTTCCGGTTTGAAATAGAAGGACAGTTGAGTCAGGGGTGCCAACCTGCAGTATTGTTCACACCATTTGTGTTTTGAGGTTTTGACTTTTCTCAAAAATAATGAACATTTAAGCCGAAGTTACCCAAAGCAGTTAGGGCCTCACTGGCGGGATGTCGTATGATCCCATCACTCAGAATTGTTTCTCTGCTGTTAGGAAATCTAGACACACTCGTGTGTCTTAGAGGCCCAGCGGGAAAGGACTGTGATGCAAGGCTTCACAATCCCTCTTAATTAGCTCCATTTCAAAGGCTTTCCTGCGCGAGTGCAGAGGAACCTTCTGGAAGCTTGTCTGCCCCCAGCCCCACGTCCCCGGTCGCTGTCCCTATCAGTCCTGGTCCCAGCTCTGCAGTGAAGACGAGGGTCTCTGCTTTGACCTCAGCCTGAACATGACTTGGCCTTCCCTTGGCTCGGAAGGTCTCTGGTTTTGCAGTTCTTTCTCCCCATGGCACCCCAGTCTGTGGACACCCCAGAGAGCTTCAGGATTTCACTCCCCTTCCCCTACCACACACCCCACCCCGCCAGTTCCTTAAGGCTTTATGGCTTTTTTCTCTTGGCGTCCAAGCTTGGGAAAACTTCCTGCCGCCTCTGGAGAGTTTAGTAAATGCCATTATTCATTCCCATCCATTTTAAATGTAGTTCCTCTTGGTTTTGATTTCATCCCTCCACCGGAAGCCCTTCCCTGGGGACCAGAGAGATACCCTCAAGCGGGTAAGGGGCTTGCCTTGCCCACGGCCTGCCCGGTTTCCATACCCACGTGCGCAGCGTTCGGTCCCCCGAGCCCTGCCAGGAGTAAGCCCTGAGCACAGAACCAGGAGTAAGCCCTGAGCACAGCCGGCTATGGTCCAAAAACCAAAACAACAACAAAATGCCTCCCTGCTAAAGTTCATAATTCCGTGGTTAGAAAATTTCAGCATTAAGACGTGTATTTCTAGAGGGCTTCAAACTTGACCAGGTTTTAATACAGTTTTGAAGTTTCGGGCCGCTTGAGGTAGAAAATAGCCTTTAAAAGAGACTGAGGAAAGGGCAGAGTGATCGTACAGCAGGTAGGAAGGGCGTTTGTCTTGCATGCGGCCGAGCCAGGTTCAATCCCCGGCATCCCTTAAGATCCCCACGTGACCCTGAGCCTGCCAGGAGTGATTCCTGAGTGCAGAGCCAGGAGTAAGCCCTGGGGCATAGCCCAGAAACAGAAAAGGAAACTGAGGAAGGGAGGTGGGCAGGGGGGCCCATGTGGCATTCTGTTGAGCAAGAATACCTTCTTTTACCACATCATTGTTACAGATTTCTTAGCCTTTAGCAGGGGCAGAAATCTTGGGGGGTACAACCGTGAGATGAATTTAAAGTTATAAAGCAGTGTTTGGACTGTTGTAGGTGACACTTTTTTTTGGGGGGGGGGGTCACACCCCGCGATGTTCAGGGGTTCCTCCTGGCTCTGCATTCAGGAATCACTCCTGGCAGTATCTCAGGGGACCCTATGGGATGCTGGGAATCGAACCCAGGTCGGCCGCGTGCAAGGCAAAGGCCCTCCCCGCTGTGCTATCGCTCCAGCCCCAGGTGACAGACTCTTAGCAGCGCTCATTACCCTCCCCACCTCTCACCCCTGCACTTGCTCTGGCATGGGAGATACCACTTGGCAGAGAACTGGGTAGGAAAATTCTGGATTTTTCTAGAATCTTCGTAAAGAGTCGGGCTAAGGCCGCATTCCTGGGCACTCTGGGTCCAGTGTGGGTGAGCGACCTGGCCAAGCTTGCCACAGGCCTTACGTGCTGCGTATCCTTTCTCCCCGGGCTGCATTTCTGCCCCTCCCCCCCATTTCCTGCTGGGAATTCAGGAGGAGGGGAACATTCCTCACACTCATCCCTAGGGCAGGCTTTGGGGGGGTGATGCTACTCCCTCCCCACCTCCTGGCGTCTAAGGTTTTCCTGGGGGAGTGAGACTTTCCAGACGATTCCAGGAGGCCCTTTGATGGAGGTGGAAATAGATTAACTCGGAAACGCTGGACACGGGCAGTGTTGTCACCTGTCTGGGCACCAATTGTCCCTACGGATACTCGCCCCAAGGAGATGTTCTCAGGCTGGGAGCAGGATGGGCTTGGAAATATCCCGTAAGGCCTGAGCAGGGCGGGGCGCGTTCTCTCCTCCATCATCCCCCTGCCCCCGTGCCAGGACGCCAGCAGAGACTTGGGGGCTTGTCGTTCTCTGCCTCCTGGGCGTGATGTTCCATGAGCCACCTCCTGCCACACGCGTCCCGGGTCAGGCCCTCAGGGCCGCCGCGCCACAGGCATTTCTCTGAATCTGTAGCGGGTTTTACTTTTTTGTTTGTGTTGACTCACTGAAACAGTTTGCTGAAATGAAACACCGTTCTTTTCACATCTCTGATTGTGTTTTTTGTTTTTGTTTTTTTTTATATATATATAGAAGCTTTATTTTCTCTTGGTCCAGAAGAGCTTGGTTCTTTAGAAGATAAGGATAAGCCTGATGCAAAGGTATCAGAATTCCTCCTTTACGAGGGCGTGGGGCTTTTGCTTATTTGTCATGCTTTTTGAGAACGAAGGAAAGGATTTTCAGAGCCGGCATTAAGTTCCTTGGAAAAACCAGTGAGTTCATTAATTTACCAAGTATGATCTTTATTTTCGGAGTGCCCTGACTGACACTGTCTTACTGCTAAGGAAACCTTCCAAGAAAGAGTTCCTTTCCCTGGGCCCAGAGCAGTAGTACGGCGGGTGGGGTACTTGCCTTGCACATGGCTGACCTGAGTTGATTCGCAGCACCCCATATGGCCCCCCTGAACCTTGGCAGGAGTGATCCTAAGCTCTGAGCCAGGAGTCGGCCTGGAGCACTGTTGGGCCCCCCCAGACCCCCATAGAATTCCCTCCCCGGACAGAATGCAGCTGATGCATCGTGTGGCCCCGGTCCCCAGTGTTTCCTTTCTTCTGGTAAAGGAGATATTTGTAAATGGTTCTTTGTAAATCGATATTTATTTATTAAATATTTATTACAATATTTATTTATATTGACCTTGCCAGCCCCCCTCCCCCCCAAAAAATAATCCACTTCATGTGTTGATCAGTAGCAGCACTGGACAAGAGAGACAGTCTTCTTCCAGAATAATAGAAATAAATTGAGTAAGGACCTGGGTTGGTGTCACTGCGGCTCTAATCAGACCCACCCCCAGCCTGAGTATCTCTCGGAACTGCTGGAGCCTGACTCAGCCTGCCCTTCCCCTTCCACTCGGGCTTCTTGCACTGCAGAGGTGCGTGTGAAGGGCTGGCTTTTGATTTTTCCTTTATCTTTTTGGGTCATACCCAGCGATGCTCGGGGGACCATATGGGATGCTGGGAATCAAACCCAGGTTGGCCGCGTGCAAGGCAAACGCCCTACCCGCTATGCTATCGCTCCAGCCCCAGGCTTTTGAATTTTTTAAACAATTCCCAGGCATAGAATAAATGTAGATGCTAGACAAAACACCGAAAGCCTTGTTCTCATTTGAGCTATTTTAATTCCGTCTGCAAGACATTCCCACCTCCGGCCCTGAGGCTCAAGGGCCCCAACCCGCAGGAGGGTGAGTTGAGGGCGAGGTGAGGTGCTTGAACCGTCCCCCACCCCCAGGGCCCCAGTTGTCCAGAGTAATAGACCTGTGACCCCGAAGTTCCTCATGATGACTGTATCCGGGTCAGAGAGTGACCGGCTGGAGACCCAGTTCTGCCGCGTCCTGCTCCTGCGATGGTTCCGTCCTACTGATCGGGGACCATGCAGGGCGGGAAAGTCCAGAGAGCTGCAACTTGGGCTTGAGTTAGGATTTTTTTTTTTTTTAATTCTTGAGTTTGGTGAGATCTGATTTTTTAAGAATCTGACCTTTGAGCAAGGTCTGAGCAGGCTCAGGTGCGCGCTTCCTTTGGAAAGTCGCGGTCGGGCCTCATCCAGGGCCGCCTCTGCTCCTTCTGCAGGTCCGGATCATCCCATTGCAGCTGCAACGGCTGTTCGCTCAGCTGCTACTCCTGGACCAGGAGGCGGCATCCACCGCGGACCTCACCGACAGCTTCGGCTGGACCGGCAATGAGGTACGGAGGGCAGCCCAGCGTGGGGTGCGAGTGGTCTTTGCTCGGCTCGGGGTGGGGGGGGGACTCAGGAGCCTGCTTCAGCGTTGACTCACCATGCAGAATCACGGGCCCGACCCGTGTGTGCGGCCACGGGCTCTGCAGGAAACTCAGGTTCTGAGTCTGGCAGGTGGGGAGAGGGTGGACGATGCCGGGAGAGAGGTGTCCGCTGACACTCGGCGTCTCTCCCTATGAGTCTGTCGTCTGGCTGAGGCACGAGCCGCCCCCACAACCTTATGTGCACCCGCGTGCTGTGCTGTTTTGGAACGGGCCTGCAGGGAGGTTGGAGGGGGGCACATAGCAGCCCCCTCTTCGCCAAGGTCTTTGCGTGCATTCCCAATCCCGCATGCCTCACCGGTCTCTTTGTTTTCTGCCTGTGACCTCCTTGGCCTCGTGCTTCTGGTTTTCCCTGGGAGCCCCTCGCGGGGAAGTCGCTGTGTGCCAGGGGGCAAGCTTTGACAGCAGCTAGTTTGTTTTTTGTTTTTTGTTTTATTTTTTTCCGCCTTTTGGGTCACACCTGGCGATGCACAGGGGTAACTCATGTCTCGTGCACTCAGGGGACAGTTCTCAGGGGACCCTATGGGCTGCTGGGAATCGAACCCGGGTTGGCCGTGTGCAAGGCCAGTGCCCTACCCGCTGTGCTATTGCTCCAACCCTAGTGAAGGAGCTTCCTGTCTGTATATGAGCTGGCAGCAGATTTCCATGGAGCAGGTCTGTTCTCGTGAGGCAGACCAGGGGGACGCGCAGGGAATTCAGGAGCCTGACCCCAGGGCTGGCCTGTGGCCACGCAGTGAACCTCTACCCTATGTCCCAAGGCGCCGGGGCACAGTCCCCCGGCCGTGGAGGCTGGGGTTTGGCATTAGGCAGGCGCTCGGGCACATCTTCTGTTTTCCTTTTGCTTTCCGTGTTAGAGCTCACACAGAGACACAGTACAGCGAGGAGGGCACTTGCCTTGCATTGGCCAAGCCGGATCCAATCCCTGGCACCCCACAGGGTCCCCCGAACCCTACCAGGAGTGACTTGGGAGCGTGGAGCCAGGAGTAAGCCCTGAGCACCGCCGGCTGTGGCCCCAAGCCCAAGCAATAAGTAAACAAATAGTAGAAAGAACCTGTTTATTGACAGAGACTCAGCATTTCACAGGATCCACCCGTGAGAGGGGGTACTCAGCGTTTCTCAGTGTCTTCACCCAGTTGTCCCGCTGTCCCTGTGGTCAGTGAGCTGACACTCTCCCCCTTCCACCCCTGGCCCCCGGCTCGCCATAGCCTCTCCGCTCCCCTCATGCCCCGAGTCTGCTTCCTGATGCTGGACTCGCCTTTTCTGGCCGTTTCACAGAAATGGAATCATAACAGCTGTGGGATCGTCCTGAAGCAGCTTCCATCAGAAGGACAGTTTTGGGGGGGCCTGGGAGATACAGCGCAGGGGTGCGGGGCATGTGGTCTGTATGTGCCGGTGCCTGGCTCCGTCCTGGCCCACAGTCCAGCAGCACCGAGTATAGCCGTGGAAACCCCAACACTGATGGGGTGCTCAGTCCCGGTGCTCCTGCAGGCCCCTGTCCTCGGGCCTGCCGTGAACCTCTGGCCAGCTTGGCTGTTTGTTGCTGTGAGTGACCCCTGGGCCTGAGTGCCGGCGGGGGGCCCCCCCATCTCGGCCCCCGGTATACAGTGTTTTCAAGACCCTTTCATCCTGAAGCGCACATCAGCATCTCCTCAGTGTCAGACGTTGCTGGGCTTTCAGCCTTGTCGTTGGTTGATGGATTTCCCTTTGGCTTGGGTGCTGATCGTCCACTGAGACGCAGGTTTTATTTATCTCAAAGCGATGCAAGCCGGGCTGGAACGATAGCACAGCAGGTAGGGCGTTTGCCTTGCATGCGGCCAACCCGGGTTCAATTCCCAGCATCCCATAGGGTCCCCTGTGCACCGCCAGGAGTTATCCCTGACTGCATGAGCCAGGAGTAACACCTGTGCATTGCTGGGTGTGACCCAAAAAGCAAAAAAAAAAAAAAAAAAAGCGACGCAATCCTTCTTTGTGTCCCTGTGACCACCTGCAGGGTGCCCTCCGGGACTAACCAGCAGAGGCAGGGAGGGTCTCTGCGGCACTTTTGCCAAGCAGAAGTTTGTTCAGAAACAGCTGGGAAGGGAAGCTTCTGTGCATTTTCTTTTCCATCTGAACCAGTGATCCTGGGGGAAGCTGCCCCTCCGAGGTCTTGTATGTTCAAGAAAAAGATTGTGAATCCCACGCCTCACTCCTGGCCATCCCCCTTACCTCTGTCTGCACCCCAAAGTGCCGTTCCACATGGCCCCCGTCACTCCCTCTTCCGCTGTGCCGTCCTCTGTGCCTCCACCTTCCTGGTCAAGAGCTGCCTGCCACTGACCCCACTGCCCAGGGCAGGGGACGTTTCTCTGCCCTCGGCCTGACAGGCTCACCGGGCTCACCGTGATGCTCCCGTCCGCCCTCACGCCCCACTCCTACCACTGCCCCGGGCTCTGCCCTCCTGCCCCTTCTTGGCTGTGGGAGCGTTCCGCTCCGTGGTCTGGTTGGCTCACGCACCGCTGCTGGCTTAGGTGAATGGTTTGTGTTAGCTGGTTGATCTTTATGTCCGAGCAGATGTTGCAGACTCACTTCCGACCACTGGTCCTTGAGGGTGGGCTCTCGGCGCCCACTGCCAGCTCTGAGAAGCTGCCCCGTGCCTGCCCCGTCTTCCTCCAGACACGAGTGTACCACCCAGCCCCAGTGTGCCCAGTGCCGCCGGCATGCCTGACTGCTCTGGGTGCAGTTGGAGAGAGTAGGCCGGGTACTCCGGGCGTCTGTACTGCGGGTTACTCATCCTTCTGCTTGGCTGAGACTCGCCCGTCTGGAGCAGTCTGGCGCTTTTTGACGGATTGCACTTGTAAGGTCTGTCTGTGGGAGTATACCCCAGTGCCCCCATGACAGTTGCAGCTTGTTGTCTAGGAAATGCGGCAACACGACGTGCAGGAACTGAACCGGATCCTCTTCAGTGCTCTGGAGACGTCTTTAGTCGGGACGTCTGGCCACGACCTCATCAATCGTCTGTATCACGGAACCATCGTGAACCAGGTCGTCTGTAAAGAGTGTCAGAACGTCAGCGAGAAGCAGGTAAGCGTGCAAGCATGTTTCTGGAACGCTCGCTGGTCTCTGACGTCCCGGCCCGTGCAGTTAAGTCTCTGAGCTGCACCGCTCTGCAGGTTCCCAGCAGTGACATCAGCGAGCTTTTTCCTATGTGCTAGCTAGGCCTCAGGCAGCAGTTTATAACTCAGATTTCTCTTCGAGAACACAAAGGAGCCTGTCTTTCAAGCTTAACAGAGAGATTGAACAGGGTGTAAGGTGCTTGCCTTGCATGCGGCCAATCCCAGTACAGTCTGTGGCTCTGCATATGGTCCTCTGAGCACCGCCAGGAGTGATCCCTGAGCTCAGAGCCAGCAGGAAGTCCAAGAACCCTTGGGTGTGGATCCCAGCACCCTCAAAACTTTTCAAAAATAGATTGCAGGCAGCTTTGTAATGCTCAAAAAAAAAAAACTTAAATAAATAAAAATTTTAAAAAGAACATAAAACCTAGCAATTTTAGAAGGCAATAGTATTATCTAATATGACTGAAGTAAATGTTCTTTTAAAAGTAGAAATATAATTTATTGAATCACTAGTGCTAAACTACTTTACAAAATGACCATATTAAATTTATGAGATAAAATGTATCTGTAGCTGGTATAAATATTTTAGTATCTAATACTGATGGGTGCTTTTCATTCTAATAAGTTTACTGTCTTGTCCAATCAACTGGAAGAGAATATAAAGAAACCTGAAGTAAACAATTACTTTAATAGGCAAAAAAGAAAAAGAAAATGGATTGCAGGGATGTTTCCAGGTAGAGGGTTATGGCCCCATGAGGGAAGTCAATGTCATGTTTAGTGATCAGAATAGTATAAAGCTAATTGAGAAAATAGATTGCTCAATAATATTTAAATGGACAAACATTTGTAGTGAAGTACTGGGTTTACTCGATTAATCCCTTAGAAGGGTTCATTTATAGATGTGTGCTTAGGTTTAAATATTACATATGAATTTATTAAGCAAAATACACTCTACACCTATAAAATTGGCAAAAAAAATTTAAGATGAAAAATATTATATATGTATAAAGCTACTAATGATCCTATTTAGTACAACGTTTAGTTCTCCTGGGGCAGGTTACCCACTTAATTGAAAGAGAAATTAGAAATTGGTAATTTGTTCGTGTACATGTAATAATCTCTGCTTGCCCTACAGATCTAATAAAGCAGGCGATTTTATTGCTAAACAATTGTCCTTTAAAAAAATATTTATTCTGGTAAGCGCTATCCTCCTTAGTTCCCATGGAAATACCTTTTGGTCTGTATTGCCCGGCAGTGTGGATGGTGAGGATCTGGCCTTTACATCAGAGGGTTCAGCCCTGCCCTCTGTTCTAGTGTGGCCAGAATCCACTGAGCTCTGCACTCCTCGGTCCAGATGTGTTTCCTGCGGTTCTTTTAGTAAAAACTTTTTTTTTTTAATTTTATCCCCAGTACACTCATAAACTTGTCCTTGATGTACTTCTTTTAAGCACACTTCTTGTAAGCACAATCATTAGTGGGTTTGGGGACGATTGTTCAGTGTTGAGAATTTCGGTGTCCGATGCAGAGACCTGTAACTTCCGGGTACCAGGCTTCCGGGAGGTACGGAGCTGACGGCTTCCAGTAGAGGAGCGAATTGCTTCTGTGTCGGTGAGCCTCCGTGAAGCACCTTTTCAGTCCGTGTTTGCTGCTCCGTTCCAGGAGGACTTCTTAGATCTAACGGTAGCGGTCAAAAACGTCTCGGGTCTGGAAGACGCGCTCTGGAACATGTATGTGGAAGAGGAGGTCTTCGAGGATGACAACCTGTACCAGTGTGGTGCCTGTGACAGGCTGGTCAGCGCGGCAAAGGTAGAGAAGCGCTTCTTGCCGGAGTCTGTCGTGTGAGGTCGGCTTGGCCGGGGAGCGTCCCTACGCTTCTTACTGAACCCGAAGGCTTGGGGCTGGCGCTATACACAGCAGGGAGGGCACTGGCCTTGCACACCACCCACCCGGGTTCGATCCCTGGCACCCTGGCTCGTCTCCTGAGCACACCTGGCATGATCCCTGAGCCCCCAGCCAGGAAATTAATTCAATGTGGTTCAAGACAGGTGTTTGCCTGTTCCATAGCTGTAGATTGATTGTTTACGGCAAAGAGCCCTGGGCGGGGGCTGGAGCAATAGCACAGCGGGGAGGGCGTTTGCCTTGCATGCGGCCGACCCAGGTTCGATTCCCAGCATCCCATATGGTCCCCGAGCACCGCCAGGAGTGATTCCTGAGTGCAGAGCCAGGAGTAACCCCTGAGTACCGCCGGGTGTGACCCGAAAAGAAAAAAAAAAAAAAAGAAAGAGCCCAGGGCGAGGGAGGCCACACCCAGCCGTGCGTGGGGCTAGTCCTGGCTCTGTGCTCTGGAGGGGCCTTATGTGGGGCGGGGATTCGAACTGGGCATGGCAGGACTCAGGGCAAGCGACTCCAGCCCTGTCCTGTGGCTCCGGCCCCTGCAGGGACTCCGGAGTCCTCAGTGTCTGAGCATCCCTGGGCTTAGAGCAGCGCGCTGCGGGCGGCAGTGCTGTTTGTGGGAGGGCTCCCTGCATGAGGTGTTTCCCGCACACCCCCAGGGGCAGTTTCCCCAGTCCCACCCCCGCGGGAAGCTCATCTCTGTGGACCGACCCTCATAGTCCCCAGCTGCTGTTACCTCTGGACACTTGTTCGTCTTTATTTCAGGGGTCCTCCTGGCCAGCTCAGGGCTGCATCCACCCGTGCCTGGGGACATTGTGGTGCTGAGGCGGCTTTGGTGGGGTGTCTGCTGGCCCCCAGCGCCCCTTTTTATTTATTTGGGGGCGTGGCTGGGGGGGATGGGTCGCTGAGGGAGGTCATGGGGGGCACATGCAATGCCAGCACCTCCCTCCTCTCTCTAGTCTTGGTGGGCACGTGCCCCATTCGACACACCCCTGCCCCCTACTAATGACTGAGGCCAAGGTGGTGTTTGTGTAGAATTCTGCCCCCTTGGCTGAAGGCACAGCCATGGCAGGGCAGAGCCGCACCCCTAGCCCCGGAGCTGTGGGTCTCCCAGCGAGTCACACGAGGCTGATTTAGGTAAACAGACGCCAAGAGCGAGCCCTGAGCACCACCAGGTGTGACCCTGAAACAGCAACAACCAAAAAAGGGTGTTCACTGCTTGTACTGACTCTACATACAAGCACGGGGCTGTTCCCTCCCCCCACATGCCATTCGGGCGGAGGAGTCAGAGAAGTTGATGGCCACCCCGGGGGCACCCGACACTTCCAGTGACTCAGTGCCACTGCTGAAGTCCCTGGTTCCCTGCTTTCCAGGGGATCGGGGTTAAGGGAACAAAGGAGGGAAGTAGCGGCTCTGAACGGCCGGACTTGGGCAGGAAATAGGTTCTGAAGAGAAGGAGGGAAGCCCCCAGCCTGCTCCCTAGGACGTCAGCGCCGAGACCTCCAGCGGGGTCCTGGGGCCTGGGAGATGTCTAGCCACACGGCCACCTTGCGCTGCAGCTGTGGTCCTGGTGGCCCAGCAGGAAGAGCTGGGTCCCGACTTGGGCATAGGTGACAGCACCGAGCCCCGGGGATGCTCAGGGTGTCAGAGAACTATGGCGAGAGCCCTGGATTCTTCCCCGTAACTCAGAATTGGAAAAAATATCTTTTTCCTTTCTTTCAACAGTCAGCCAAGTTACGCAAGCTGCCGCCCTTTCTGACGGTTTCCTTGCTGCGGTTCAGTTTTGACTTTGTCAAGTGTGAGCGCTACAAGGAGACCAGCTGTCACACCTTCCCTCTCCGGATCAACCTCAAGCCCTTTTGTGAACAGGTTCGAACGGCCTCCCCTGGAAATTCTTTTGGGTTCACGGCGGGTGTCTTTGCCGCCCTGACTGGCCGCTGGCCGCGGGTGGCAACTCCGGCCCCAGCGCTGCTCCTGGGTCAGGCGGCCACGTCGTGACCGGCCCAGTCAGGACACTAGGACGAATCAGCATTCCCGTACGTGCTCCTGGTGGTGACACACAAGTGTCCTCAGACGGTGCCAAAAAGCCACGTGGCCTTGGGGGCAGCGGGCAACGGGCTGGACTCTCCCTTGGCTGAGAATCACCAAGTTCTTTATTATCGTCCGCTCGAGTCGTGGCCTCTGGTTGTTTTTTGTTTGTTTTTGTTTTTTTAATTTGGCTCCCCTGGAAACATCTTCGAAGTGAAAGTTTCAGAGCAAAATTAGAAATACTTTCACATCAGAAAAATTGCCTTTTATAAAAATTAAAAAAGAAAAATTGCCTTTAATACGTTTCTTGGTGTGTAGATGCAGTAACGAATGGCACGTCTGGGAGTGAATTGGCAGTTGAGACTTTACGAGGCCAAAATGTGTGATGCTTAAAGACAGGAAAGGAAAGACTGGGAAAACAATCTAATCAGTAGAACAATATAATCACTGGGGCTGGAGCAATAGCATAGCGGGTAGGGCGTGTGGCCGACCTGGGTTCGATCCCCGGCATCCCCCAAGCACCACCAGGAGTGATTCCTGAGTGCAGAGCCAGAAATAACCCCTGAGCATCGCTGGGTATGACCCAAAAAGAAAAAAAAATAACAATATAATCACTCTATAGCCCTGGGTGTGGCACAGTCCCAAAGGATGTAGTTCTTACTACTGCTAGTCAGTGCTTCCATGTTAAAATCAGAACATTTATTAGCAAGCCTGTGGATTTTTCTGGGCAAGCTTAATTATTTTATTTTAATGTTCTTAAACTCAAATGGGCCTTCCTCTACCACAAGTCTAATTACCGAGCTTTTTATTTTTATTACACAAATTATTGTTCCTGTATCACCTCTGAGCCTGTTACTGGTGTGTGTAAAATTGGTTTTCTGATACAAGTTAATTTACTTGCCCCTCTCCTTTGGGCTTTGTCACCCGATTCCCATGCTGAAATAAGGAAACGTCGAGTGCCTCTTCTTTAGGAATCCACATTGGCTGTGCTGTTTGAAAATAGTGTTAGCCCCCCCCCCAACATCCCCAAACTCTTCCCTTTTTTTTTTTCTTTTTGGGTCACACCTGGCGATGCATAGGGGTTACTCCTGGCTCATGTACTCAGGAATTACTCCTGGCGGTGCTCAGGGGACCCTATGGGATGCTGGGAATCGAACCCGGGTCAGCCATGTGCAAGGCGAACGCCCTACCCGCTGTGCTCTCGCCCCAGCCCCACACACATCCATCACTTTAACTAACTCTCTGGGCTTCTCACTTATCTTTTGCTTGAGCCAGATATTTAAAAGTTTTAAAGTGCTGCCCGGGGCTGAAGACATAGTTCAAATGTGTCTAGGATGTACGGGGTCCCAAGTTTGCCCCCTGGCACCAGTGACCAACCCTCCGAGCACCACTGAGTACAGCCCTGGTGGCTCCCAGCCAGTGACCCTTCGGGTCAGTGTTGGTCCCCCGGTTTCTTCTGGATACGGCCCACGGCATAAACCCCTGCTTCCTGTACAGTTATACCGTCTAAGACAGGTAGTCTCATGCAGAGTACTGCGGTCTGAAGGAGATTCTTTTTTTACCCAAAAAAAAAAGGCCAGTGTGAGTCTCTCTTGGGTTCATCATAATCTTAGGGCCACGATGACTGCAGGAAAGGGTGGTCCTAGGATCGACCAGTCTGGAAAGTCCATTTGGATCTTGGCTCTGAGGGCTAGTGGACATACTTTGCATGCCAAAGGCCTGGCTCCAGTCCCTGGCACCTAATGGTTTCCTGAGCACCGTTGGGTGAGTGTGCCAGCTCGTCTCTGTAATTGCTACATTCCCATTACGTGCAGAAGAACAATGTCAGGAGGAGTGCTGGGGGCTAGGGAGCACTCTGTCGTTGAGGCCTGGCAATAGACTGGCTGGCACGTGGGGCAGAATTCAGCAGCTACAGAGTACACGTATGCAGAAACAGAGTACGGATGCAGCAGATACATACGCAACAGAGATGCTTTTCTCTGGCTAAAAACTCCCAAATGACTAGATGATAATAGGACTCAGATACAGGTGCTTCATTATTATATATCATAAATAGATATTTCATTATCATACTGACTTACATGATCTTTTCCCAAGTTCATAAAAATAGAATCTTGGGCCAGAGCGATAGTACAGTTTGTAGGGCCACTTGTCTTGTACTCAGCTGACCAGGCCAGGCCTTGATCCTTGACATCTCATCTGTTGCCACCAGCCCCCCCGCCCCCCAAAGCACCGCCAGGAGTAATTCCTGAGCGCAGAGCCAGGAGTATATCCTCAGCACCTCTGGGTGGACCAAAAAAATTTCATGAAAATGTTTAAAAGATGGAATTTAGTTGATGTTCTGTGTTTAATCACTGATACTGTCCCATCTAAAGACTTTGAAAATTTAAAGTTGATTTTTCAAATTTTACCAAAGATGCTATTAAATAACAAGAAACAGTAAAGTTTCCTGGTAAATTCAGTAGTTGGGATTCTTTTCTCTTGGGTTCTGTGTCTTTCTGGTTTTTTTTTTTTTCTGACAATGTTTATGGTTTTTGTTTTTGTTTTTGTTTTTTTTGCAGAGTGAATTGGATGATGTAGAGTATCTGTATGATCTCTTCTCGGTTATTATACACAAAGGTGGTTGCTATGGAGGACATTATCATGTGTATATTAAAGATGTAGATCATTTGGGAAATTGGCAATTTCAAGTAAGTGTAGAAATTAGAAATACCTTTGCAATTTTCTTTTCTAGTCCTACCATTTTGATGAGAATTATCTTTTGCCGCTTGTCGTGTGTTCGCTTGAGAATATTTTTATAGGCACTGAATGTTAATACAGGTAGTTAAAAATTTTTCTAAATCATGTTGCACTTAATGAACACGCCTTGTTTATGCAACACAGCCTGTCTCCAGGTGTTACTGCTTTGCTGGATTTGGGCAAACATGCACCATTTGCGCGCACACACACACACATACACATACACACACACACACACACACACACACACACGTCAGGGCGCTTTTATTCTTCCCCTGGGAATAAGACATCGCTTTCCGTTTCATAAAAGAGCTTCCTTGAAAGCTCATCGGTAGTTAGAACATTTCTCAAGCAAACATTTCCCCGGCATCTTGAGGGACAGAGCTTGCTAATGGGACTCTGGTTCTAGTGGCTTTGCCGAGGGAATTTTAAAGTGTTTCTAAATGACTTTATAGCCTGAGTTGGATGATGAGGAAAGGCGAGGGGGTGTTCAGCCCTGAAGGAAGGCTTCTCAGGCCAAGGACATGGCGCTATCGGCAAGCACAGGCAACCAGGATCTATTGGCTTGATAACAAAACCTCCTGATAAGATTTGTAGGGTGTGGGCTGGAGAGAGTACCGGCGTTAAAGGCCTTTGCCTGACACCTGGCCAAACCCAGTTCAATCCCCAACGCCTCATATGGTCCCCCCGCGCACCACCAGGTTTGCCCAAATCAGCAAGTTATGTGGAAGTACTGGAACTCATTGATTGTATTTGCCTGCCGGGCACCGTGCGTTATGCTAGTTTGCAGATGATATCCGAGTAGGGAAGTAATTCATCTAGACCGTGGACACAGAGCCACATTCAAACCCAGCTGTGTCTGTTCTGTTCTTAGGAACTTGGGCCAAGGTCATGTAAGTTAGTGTGATAGGCATGTGCAAATGATGGGGGCTTTTCCATCTTCAGATCTCCATGGATCGGACGTTCCTGCTTCCTTAATTACCTTTCGAATGATTAGCAATAGCCATGCTTTATTTTTCTCCCTCTTAGGAAGAAAAAAGCAAGCCAGATGTGAATTTGGAAGGTGAATTCCAGAATGATGACGAGAGTGCAGACCCGTTGAGGATTCTAAGAGCAATATTACTGGAGGTACAGATGAAGGAGAATGCATATGTTCGTTCCTGTATGTGTAGATTAGATCCGTGAGTGTGTGTGAGGTTTAGTTGTCCATATTACGGCTATTCTGTCTCTCTGCCCCTTCACCCACCCCCCACCCCCCTCCCCCGCTCTTAGGATCTTTTGCATGTCTGTTAAAAGCTTTTGGTTGGCTCTTTTGGGTTTTAAAAAAAAAATACATATTCAGTGGTAGAAAATTTGAGAGAAGAAAACAACTCTGGAAACTCCAGGACACAGGTTAAAAATATATAAATCAAGCAGTCATTGTTAAGTAATATGCAGATAGGTTTAAGAACATCCATTCGGTTGAACCAGGTCCCATCTTTAACTGCCTTTAAAGGCTCTTTTCAATGCCATAGTTGAAGTTTTGGGGACTCCATACTCAAAATAGGAATTTCCAGGAAGAGATACATCTCTGAGTGGTGGAGGAGGGGGCAAGGGGATGGCACATCCGGCTGTGCTCCGGGATGACTCCTGGCAGTGCTCGGGAAACAGATGTGGTCCCCAGGATTGAACCCAGGCCGCTGCTTGCAAGAAAAGCACTTTCGCCATTGTACAATCTCTCCAGCTGCAAGAGAGACGTTTCAATTCATAATAATCGCTCTTGTCCTCTTTGAAAACTTGTTTATTCTTCAGAATATTCAGAAAGAAGAAAGTTGGCCCTATTTTACACTTAAGTATTTCTTTTGAAACCCTCACTTATCTACCAGGGAGTTAGCAAGCCTCTGAGTCTTTCTCTTAAAACGGTTTGCCTTTGGGCTTTTTTCTAAATGGTGTTCTCTCTTTAATATGTATTTCTCTCTTTATACTCTCTCTGTCTCTCTCTCTCTCTCTCTCTCTAAATGTATTTCAATAAAAAATATTCGCTTCCCCCAACCTTCCCCCAAAATTGCAAACTAGTTTGGCACGTGGAAAGTGTCAGAATCCGCATTTTCTAACCCAAGGTTTCCTCTGCTTTTTTTCTTGCTTCCTTCCCTCTTCCTCTGTGTTCCTAAATTTCAATTTGACTTTTTTGGAAGGTTGCACCCTACTCAGTGGTGCTCAGGGGCTGCTCCCAGCTCTGCTTGGGGGTTGGCTCTGGAAGGTCTCGGGGGCCGTGGGGATTGAACCCGGGCCTCCAGCGTCAGAAAGCAGCTCTGAGCCCGTCAATCCATTTCTCCACCCCAAAGAAATTTTAAGTTCCCCCTCTTTTGGAGGGGGTGTTGTGGTACCTGCGGCTGAACCCGTGACCTCACAGCGTGTGAGACAAGTGCTCCAGTGCTCAGCTGCACTCAGTCCCCTGCTTTTTATGGGGCTGGAGCCATAGGACAGTGTGTTGGGCACCGCCAGGAGTGATTCCTGAGTGCAGAGCCAGGAATAAGCCCCAAGCACCGCCTGGTGTGGCCCCCAAAACCAACCAACCAAACAAAAATGCCTCTATATTTTTGACATGCTCAGGGGTAATTGCACGGTTGCCGTAGTCGGCCTGTTGAATTAGGTCCAGTTCTGCCGCCTCCTTGGAGCTGAGCGCACCGGTGGTTAAATGTCATCGATTTTCCTAGAGCACTTTGTGTTTCCTTTTTAAGGAGGAAAGTAATCAAATTCCTGTTGACCAGCTGGGCCAGAGACTCTTGAAGAAGATAGGCGTATCTTGGAACCAGAAGTTCCGGAAGCAGTGCGGCTCCCTGAGGAAGGTAACTCCGCTCTGCCCAGGACGCGGAACCTGCTGGTGTGCCGTGTGTCGCGGTCCGAGTCTGTGCAGCTGCTGATCCTGGAATCGAGAAGCCAGCAGGATAGAGAGGGGGGTCTTCTAAACCCCACGCACGCTCTTACTTTTGCTTTATTTTAAAATTGTTTTCTTTGGCATACCCAATATACCAAATACCAGTAACAGTGATGGTTCTCATTCTCCTAACCCTGAAAGAGCCTTGAATATGGCACTTTTAAAAAAAAAAAAATCTCAGGGCGAGGAGGAAGGAGACGTTACTGGGGCCTGCTCGAGGCAATCAGTGAACAACAGGATGGTCGTGATCGTGATTCTCTGGGGGGGGAAGGGTTAGGGTTACACCCAGCAGTGCTCGCGGGCTGTTTCTGGCTCTGTGCTTGGGAGTGAGCCCAGTGGTTCTCCATGGGACCATCTGCAGTACCGGGAATGTGCACAAGCGCATGCCCACGGCCTCTTGTGCTCGCCAGTGAGAACTGTGTCTGTGTTTGCGTCGTGTCAGTTTACCCGACTGAGCGTTTCAGCGGTCAGGCCACGCTCTCCAGAGTCTCTTCCTACTTCAGAGATTTTCCTCTTCACCTTCGCTCTTAGCAGTTTAACGATCACGCGTCTCTGAGGTTCTCTGAGTTTATCTTCAGGCTGTTGCCAACTTGGGGCACCCATCCGACCTTTCAGTTGTTGCCCTCCTGTCTCCGGGATTTGTGGGTGGGGGTTTGGAGCCACACAGTGGTGCTCGGGGTCCCTCCGGGTGGTGCTTGGCGACCAAGTGATGCCGGGGATGGAGGCCGCGGCTCAGCCTGCTGGGTGTTTCCTCGCCTCCCTTTTCTTTCTGCCCCACTACTTCTCCCTGTTTTATGCCCTTTCCCCCCCAAATTGACTGTTTCAGCTCCGGCTACGAGCCGTGTTGGCCGGCTGCTGTGCAGAGCATCTAGCCCCACTGTCCACTGGTCAGGGCAGGCCCAAAAACCCACAAAGGAAAGAAATGAAAGACAGTTTATAACCCAGAGACTTGGAGTTGTCAGCATTTTATTGTCCCCCGCCCCTTTGATTGTGGGGCCACACCTGTCATGCCCAGGGCTTCCTTCTGACTCTGTTCAAGGGTCACTCCTGGTGGGGCTCAGGGGACCCTGTGGGGTGCTGGGGATCCAACCTGGGGTGGCTGCGTGCAGGGCAAGCACCTACCCACTCTACTATTGCTCCAGCTCCATTTTGTTACACATTTTTAAAAAAATTGCTGGAAAACTACAGAAGGAGTTTCGTGCTTTGTGAAGATTACATATGATTCAGACATGTACATGTGAGGGCCTAGGTTCAACCCCTGGCAACGAATAATCCCCCCCCCAGTAATATTTTATTCTATTTATTTATTTATTTATTTATTTTTGGGTCACACCCAGCGATGCTCAGGGTTTCCTCCTGTCTCTGCACTCAGGAATCACTCCTGGTGGTGCTCAGGGGACCATATGGGATGCTGGGAATCAAACCCGGGTTTGCCGCGTGCAAGGCAAACGCCCTACCCCCTGTGCTATTGCTCCCGCCCCCCCCCCCAGTAATATTTTAATATCCCTTCTACCCAGTATGTTTCATTGAAATGCTTTTTACAGAGAGAATTATTGAGATATAATTTAACATGAAAGCCTGGTCACTTTTTCCTTCTATAGACCTATTAGACTATTTAACGGAGAATACTGCAATCTAAATCTCTTATTATGGCCCAAATGGATTTTTTTTTTTTTCTCCTAGCTCACAAGTAAAGATGTTGTAGGGAAACACGTCTGGGCCAGGCTGTGCCCTCAGTGGCAGGGTCTCTGCCCGGGACGATCTCTGGTACCACAGATGGAAGAGAAAGGAAAGGAGGAATAAATTAAGCTCAATTGCAGCATGGAAGAGCTGGGTTTATTTTTTCAAATCATGTCCAGCCAAACACTGTTTTATTAACCTGGAATCTGTTTGTGTTCCGGCACAGTTCTTACAGCTGCATCCACAGGAGTTTCAGCTCAGTTCCGATGAAAATACTGTCAGTCTGTTGAGCTGTGGGCCCCAGGCCGAGTCTGCGTCCCGAAGGAGCGACCAGCCTGGTCTCAGGACACTCCCTTCAGATCCCCCAGCGGCGGGCGACCCAGCCTCCTGCCCCCACTGGTTTGATATCAACGACTCCAAAGTGCAGCCGATCGCGGAGAAGGACATCGAGCAGCAGTTCCAGGGGAAGGAGAGCGCCTACATGCTGTTCTACCGGAAGTCCCAGTTGCAGCGGCCACCTGAAGGTAGGGGGGGCGGAAACGCTCCTGTTGGAGTTGAGCTGACGTCGGTGCGCTCTCAGCCTGCGAAAGGGAGGTTCCTCCTTGCAACTTCTTTTAGTTTGTTTTGGGGTCACACCCACCATCGATCGCTCAGTTCTGGGGACCCTGTGCCAGGGGTGGAGCCCGTGTCCGCTGCACGCTCTCGGCCCCCCTGCCCTAGCTCTCCAGCCCAGCTTGACCCGTTTTTTTATTTATTTTTTTTTTTCTTTTTGGGTCACACCTGGCAATGCTCAGGGGTTACTCCTGGCTCTTGCACTCAGGAATCACTCCTGGCAGTACTTGGGGGACCCTGTGGGATGCTGGGAATCGAACCTGGGTCGGCCCCATGCAAGGCAAACGCCCTACCCGCTGTGCTATTGCTCCAGCCCCTTGGCCCGTTTTTTTAATATTTCAGAGTTGGCGCTGAGTGCAGTTTGCCCAATGAGGCTGACAGCCTGTTGTCCTGAAAGATAGGTTTCCACTTTGCTTTGGAGGAGGAGGAGACCACAGTTACATTTCCTTGAGGGGGGTGGGTGGAGGATGGGGCACCCAGCCGTTGTTCCTGGCAGGCACGTGCCTTAGCCCTGGCCCCGTTGCTAGATGCCAGAATCAAACGTCCTGTGATGGCCTTGGCTCTCATTTGACCTTTGACTTCTAAGCGGCCCTGGTCACATTTTCATCTGTTCCCTTGATTTCCTCTTCTCTGAACTTAATGTGTTCTCTGGGCAATTGAAAGGGCCTTAAACGCTCTTTGTTGAGCCTCTGAGAACGCTGAGAACCTGGGGGCTGCCCTGTGAGGACCTCCCCAGAGAGGAGGTGACGTGCGTGAGTCCATCAGGAGGAAGACTCATTCATCACTTCCCAACTCAAAAATAAAAAGTGTTAAGAAACGGGCTGGAGCAATAGCACAGCGGGTCGGGCGTTTGCTTGCACACGACCCGGGTTCGATTCCCAGCATCCCATATGGTCCCCCGAGCACCTCCGGGAGTAATTCCTGAGTGCAAGAGCCAGGAGTAACCCCCGTGCATCTCCAGGTGTGACCCCCCCCCCAAAAAAAATGTGTAAGAAACAGTAGTAGCCAAAAAAAAAAAAAGGCAGGGAATCTCTTTAGCTGGAGGGACACATGTGGTGAGAAAGATCCTCTGGAGAATGAGTTGTGGTCATTCTCCTAAGAAATAAGAAAGGACCACTTGCTAATTGCACATGAATCAAAGAAAATCAACTTTCTGGATGTGAACCCGTTCCCTGACCCAGCTGGTGAGCAGGAGGGGCTTTGCATTTTCCTGAGGGGAGCAAGATTTCCTAGTCGTCCTGGTGGAAAACACCGGGGCAGAGTTCCCAGTTCTAGAATGAGCACTGGCTGACAGAGAATGGCCGTGGTGGGTTCCGGGGCTGGAATGTGGGCGCACGCATACTTGGGTTCTATATGGAGGGAGTTTGGTGCCGGCACGCCTACCCTCACAGCCCACTCACAGCACAGAGCACTGTCGTGAGAGCCCCCTCCCCACTCAGCACCCCCAGGGCTGAACCATCTGTGGCTGGCACGTGCCCGGACTATCACCGTCTCCTTAAACCCTTCTCCCGGGCCCTGGGCAAGCAGCTCCGGGCCAGGGTACACAGAACCTGGGTGAGGTCTTGGGTGAGGTCTGCTGCGCCACTCAGACAAGCGCCTCAGACAGGAGGCCCACTCCTGCGCACTGCCTGGCAGCACCCAGGCCAGGTCTCTACCTCGGGAGTTTGCAGCTGTCCTGAGATCACCCACAGGCGCAACAGAGCAGGAGTCCACTGGGTTCTGTGCCGGTGGGCGCCGCTAGTCTGAGCCCACCGAGAGTTCTGGGGAAAGTCTAAGAATAGGGGCTGGAAGGGTGAGTCGCACGTGGGTGGCCGGTGTGGGCAGCACAGGTGCCGGTGGTCACCCACAGGCAGCACCCCATGGAGGCCGTGTGCTGACGAGCGCTTTCTCCGCAGCTCTCGCCAACCCGCGCTACGGGGTCCCCGGTCACTTGCTGAGAGAGATGGACGCAGCCAACATGGAGCTGCGGACCAGAAGGTAACTTTGGACTTGATCAGGGAGAGAGAGAGAGAGAGAGAGAGAGGGAGAGAGAGAGAGGGAGAGAGAGAGAGAGAGAGTGTTGGGGGGGTGACTTTTTCCCCGAAGCCATCTCGACCGGGAGGGAAGGAGTAACGCCCGTGGCATGGCCACTGCTGGGTGTACAGGGGAGTCGAGGAGGCAGCGGGCTCGGTGAGCTGGTCAGCCAGCCGCCCTCACGGCTCTGAAGTCCGGGGCCAGTGGTCAGTGATGGGGCCAGCAGGGGGAGGGTGGCGTCGGGGCGGGAATGGGTCCTACAAACTCTGGGCCGTCATGTCAGCTGGGGAGACAGCCAAGCCTCAGAGCACACCGGCCCCAGTGGACGTCCAGCCTGGGACCCTGAAACCTGATTTGCTCACAGACAGGGTCCATGAGGGTACTCGGTATCCTCGTGGTCTCCTCGTGACCCCAGGGGCAGCTGCTGGGACTGTGACCAAAGATGCCAACAGATATCAAGACTGGGGACTGGAGTGATAGTATAGCGGGGAGGCATTTGCCTTGCATGCGGTTGACACGGATTCGATCTGTGGCATCCTATATGGACTCCCGAGCACCGCCAGGAGTGATTCCTGAGTGCAGAGCCAGGAGGAACCCCTGAGCATCGCCGGATGTGACCCCAAAAGCAAAAAAAAAGAAGAAAGAAAGAAGAAAAGAAAAGAAATTAAGACTGTTTGGGGCCATTCCTGGCATTCCTGGCAGTGCTCAGGGCTCACTCCTGGCGGTGCTCAGGAGACCGTGTGGGGTGCCTGGGCTTGAACCCCGGTCAGCTGTGTACAAGGCAAACGCTGTCCCCACTGGACTATTGCTCCAGGCCCAAATCACCAGTTTGTAAAAGAATTGTCAGCTCCCTTGACCGAGTTCGCCCACTTGATTACTACTGCTGTGTCCAGCAGCCCATGAGGAGTGTTGCCATCTGAAAACAAGTGTTGCCTTTGTCCAGGCCTGGACTGTGACCGGAATGCCCCCCCCCCCCCACACGCTCCCTCCCTGAGAGAGAGAGAGTGTAGAACCAGGTACTCCTGTGTGTAGCCAGCCCCGGCACTGTGGGTAGTACCTGAGTACCCTGAGCGCAGAGCCGAGAGTCAGCCCTGAGCACTGTTGGGCGTGGCCCAGTCACCCCACGACCTTCTCTCCACCCCCCCAAAAAAGTAAGGCTGAAACAGGAGTTGGTGCGGCTGGCCCCTCACGTGACGGCTGGGCAGGCCTGGGTGGGTCTGCCCGCTCCCTGTCGTGCTCTGAGCACGGGCAGATACAGAGGGCCCATGCGTCCGACTCCTGGCCCCGCTGGTCCCGAAGCCTGTCGGGGCTGACTGGCTGAGCGTTGGGAGGCTGGGATGATCCGGGTGGCACGTGGGGGGAAGAGGGGAAGAGGACGCGGATTGCAGTTCCCCGGCCAGAGTGGAACTGTCTGAGACGGGAAGCGGAGTTTGCGAGGGCTGTGTCCGCAGCAGCCCCAAAGCATCGTGCGCGTCCCTCCGCAGGGCACAGTGCAACTCCACAAGCAACAGCTTTGAGCTGCATCTCCACCTTGGCCCCCACTATCATTTCTCCAACGGCGCCCTGCACCCCGTCACCTCGCAAGCAGAGAGCGTGTGGGATCTGACCTACGACAGGGGGAGGACCTTGGGGGACCTCCGGCAGTCCATCTTCCAGGTAAGGGCGCCCGCCCCCACAGACCCCTCCCGCACGGTTGGGCGGTTGTGTGTGTGTTGTATTCTTCGTGTGTGTGTGTGTGTGTGTGTGTGTGTGTGTATAGGGGAGGGAGAGAGGGAGTGGGGGATATGGTCAGAATTTTTAAAACTTTTTTATTTTAATTTTTCTAATTTTATTTTCATGAAGTTGTTCACAATAACTGATTACACTCGATATGTCAACACCAAGCCCACCACCGTTACTTCAAAGTTTACTGCCACCACTCAAGCCTGCCCCCAGGCAGATGCTAGATCGTTTATTTTGTATTGCTTGTTTTGACCTGCTCCGGTTCTGACCTGGGCCGGTTCACCCCTCCTTAGGCGACCTGGTGGTCCTCCGCTCCCGGAGGGTCACCATATTGATGCCAAACTTAGTGTGGACCCCTGATCAGCATAGCGCACTACGGCCCAGAACTCCGGGACTCAAGTGATCCTCTGGCCTCAGCCTCCCGAGTAGCTGGGACTCTGGGCGCGCGCACAGGACGACAGTGCTACAGTGCCAGTGCTACTGCTTGTTGCGAATAGTCTGAGATGTCTGTAGGGGTCAGAGTCGGGGAAAATAGAAAATGTACGGTCTGTTTTGTTTTTCAGAAATAAAACATGGTCTCTGAACGACAGTCATCAAAATTAGTAGCATGGTCCTCCCGTTGTTCATCGATTTGCTAGAGCGGGCCCAGTAACATCTCCATTGTGAGACTTGTTACTGTTTTTGGCATATCGAATACGTCACGGGTAGTGCCAGGCTTTGCTGTGCGGGCGAGATACTCTCGGTAGCTTGCTGGGCTCTCCAAGAGGGGTGGAGGAATCGAACTCGGGTCGGCCTCATACAAGGCAAATGCCCTACCGCTGTGCTATCACTCCGGCCCGTCAAAATTAGTAACTTCAAAAAAATTTTTTGGACAAGACGAAGTCAGTTTCTTTAACTTCAGTTGAGTTGAGTGATTTTTTTTTTCCCTCCACAATGTTGGACTAGTATCAAGATTTATAAAATTAGTATATTTGTGAACCTTTGCATTAAAAGCCCATTTCTGAGGCTGGAGACAGGACAGGGCACGGCACTTGCCCGGTACGCAGTGCCCTAGCCTGGGTTGGGTCCCTGCACCACACAGGGACCCCGGACACTGCCGGGTCACCTCGGCGTCCAGAGCCAGGAAGAGTCCCTGAACCCCACGCACACTGCCAGGCCAAATCTGCCATGTTCCCTCCCTTGGTGACTCCTCCTGGGGGGCCGCCAGGTTTTCAGTCTGTCTGTTTTCTCAGAAGTAATCCCCGGTGCAGGTGGGCGGGGGGTACCACACTTCATCCCAGGCAGAGGGAACTCGCTGGAAGGGCAGGAAATAGACTGACCCTCGGGGTCTCCTCAGCCCCTGGAGTCAGATCTAAACCCTAACTGACCTGGTGCCTGCAGGGCTGTGTGGGCAGCTGGGCCCAGACTAGGCACTGATCACTCGCTGCCTGGCTCTGCCCCGCGTCGGCCCGATGTCAGGTCAGCTCCCAGCCGTGACTCTCTGGGGAAAGGCAGGTCTGACCTCCTGCCGGCCCAGCCTGTTCTCCTCTGGCCTGGGCCTGGGCCAGGTCTGGGACTGAGCACTGTTCCTTTCTCTCCCCATTGCCCTCTAGCTGCTGGAGTTCTGGGAAGGAGATATGGTTCTGAGTGTCGCCAAGCGTGTGCCCGCGGGCCTCCACGTCTACGAGACCCTGACTGGTAAGTAGCATGTGTGCCCACACATCTCGTTGGCCGGCTCCCCGTCCCTGCCGCCTCCTTCGCCGGGAGCTTGGCATCACCTTGGCAGTTTGGAAACAGTTTCTCCAATTTCAGGCGCCTCCAGTTTATGGAATAGTGACACTGTGCTGACATGGACGTGACCTCACTTTCCAAACTTAAAGCTACCTTTCTGTCAGAGTCGAATCGTTGGAAGTTTTGGGGCTCTCCCGTGTTACGACCTTTTCGGCACTTGAATCTGGCGTGGCTGTTTTTCCCCTGACTCTCAGTGCCCGATTTGAGAGCAACAGTCAGGAGTTGCATGCTTTGGTTCCCCGAGAGCTTAAGAACTCCAGTTCCTTGGACGCTCGGAAGGACTGCAGGGGCTGGGGTGGCCCGGCGGCCCGAGCACGTGTTGGGTGGAATACTTGGGGCTTGGTCGGATCCCTGGCACTGCTGGCCCCCGGCAGGGCTGGGTGTGACCCAAAGCCAGAGGGAAGGAACCCTGGGTGCTTTTCATCGCCGATAAACAGAACAGGAACTGTGGCAGCACCACTTCCGCTGAGCCTGACGCTGTGCGTTTTTTCCTATGAAATAGCTCGTGGCTGGTTCACAGATTTCTTCTCTGGGGTCACAGAGGGAGCCCTGAAGCATAGCAGCTGCCTCTTCACAGTGGCACGGGCCACGACTGTTTCCAGGGACTCTCTTTCCCTGCCATGGTGCCCACAGAGATTGTGTGGTGACACAGAAGTGGTCACAGTGAAAGGGGCCGAGAAAGGGCTGGGAAGGGCTGGGAAGGCTGCGCCGGAAGTCGGTGTGAGCCCTGGACTCCTGCTGTTTCTCTGCGGTGAGAGCAGCACACGGACAGACGGACAGGCGTCTGTCTCGGCTCTGCCTGCAGCCCGGGTCTCACCAGCAGTCTTGTCCTCCAGGAGACAGCCTGACTCTGAACGATGCGGGGATTGACGACGGGGAGGACATCTTCGTCTGGAATGGAGCGCAGGTGAGGACGCACTGGCGACAGGCGGGTCCCCGAGTGGGTTCTTGTCATCGGGATGGAATTCTGCCCGTCACGCGGGCAGGCCATGGCACAGCAGGAGACTGGCAGGAGGAGCAGGCTTGGGGCAGCCGTGCTGGAGAGCGTCTGTCTGTATCTGTGTGTCGGAGTCCCCGTGGGCCGTTGGGGGGGACGCCGAGCGCTGAGGGGGGCCAGGAGGGGGGCGTGATGTAAAGGAGTGGGCAGGGAGGGTTGTTTCCCCCGTGTAGTCTGTGGCCCGTCTGTCTGTCTGTCCGTCTCTCTCTCTGCCCACCCTCGCCACCACTGTGGAGACCCGCCTCACTGTCTGCACGGCCCAGAGTTCTCTCATATTACAACACGGCAGAGGGAACCTTCCAGAGCCAGTGCTGAGGTTCTCCTGCCATAAAAACTCACTCTATGGCGGAGCGACAAACTGACAGCTCTGTGTCTTTTCCTGGGCAGATGCCAATCAGCATAACGGTTGTCTTGGTGTCACGCAGGTGGGCGGAGTCCCCATCGCCACCGGCAGCGAGAGTGAGCCGCTCCTCCTGAATGTCCTGCGTCCAGCCCCTGGCGGGGAAGGGGCCGAGGGCCAGCAGCTGGTGGAGTCCACGCTCGTCTTCCCGTCCAACGCGGACGTGGGTGCCGTGCTCGCGGCCTGCGCCCTCCCGCAGGGCGTCGTCTCCATCAGCAGCACGGAGCCTGCGGGCCCAGAGAGCTGGACCACCGTCCCCAAGGAGGACACGCACAGGACACTCCGAGAACTCGGGCTCTGCAACGGGAGCTCCATCTCCATCCGGGACTCCGAGTCTGGCGGCGGCAGGTACCACCCCAAGGGGAAAGCTCACTGGCACCGGAGAAGGGTTCGGGCTCAGACCGAGAACGAAGGGTGTGGTTCTTCCCACCCCAGACAGGCACTCCTCTTGAACCGCACCGGAAGTAGGAATGCTCTTGCATTTTGCAGATTTGTGATGTCACTGGGGGCATGAAAAGTGATCTAGGTGGGACTAGATGCGCTTTTGGGGGTGTTTTGGTATTGTTGGGGTTTTGTTTGGGTTTGGGGCCACCCCTGTCATGCTCAGGGCTTGCTCCTAACTCTGCGCTCAGGAATCACACTCCTGGTGGTGCTCAGGGGACCATGTGGGATGCCAGGGAATGAACCCAGGCTGGCTGCGTGCAAAGCAATTGCCTGCCCCGCTGTCCCATCTCTCCAACTCTCCAACCCCCTAGAGTAGCTTTCCAGAAAGCAGAATCCTGAGGCCAGAGAGACAGCACCAGGGTTAAGGCAGTAACCTTGGTACGTGGCCTCTCTGCCTCTGATCTGTGGTACCCCTGGGTAGCCAGGGAAGAAAGTGAGAGCCTGTCATGAATTCCCACTCAGCCTTGCCATGGAATCCAGAGCCCGAGTTTTCTTTTTTTTTTTTTGCTTTTTGGGTCATACCCAGCAATGCTCAGGGGTGACTCCTGGCTCTGCACTCAGGAATTATTCCTGGCGGTGCTCGAAGGACCATATGGGATGCTGGGAATCGAACCCGGGTTGGCCGCGTGCAAGGCAAGCACCCTCCCCACTGTGCTATCATTCCGGCCCAGAGCCCCGAGTTCTCTGAAAGGAGTTCATGAGGGTGTCAGAGTCAGAACTAGGTCTGTCAGGCTGGGTGGTCAGGATCCCTCAGGAAGTTCCCTTTCGCTTGGGGACTCTCCAGCTGCTCAAAGAGGACAGTAAGCCCCAGGGGACTCCCCCCTACTCTGGACAGCGCCTTCGACTCTCTCCTTGTCTGCCTGTCCCTGGACATTCCTGCAGTCGGGGAGGGTCCTCACTGCCCCCCTCAGACCTGCACATGACAAAAGCTCGGTTCCCAGTGACCCTGATCCTGTCTGTCCAGACGCAGTGGGTCCGCTCGCCTCACTGACCGCCACGCTGCCTGGGACAGTGGCCGGGACTCGGGGAGGTGGTCGCTCCCCAAGAGCACGTCCCAGCTGCGCAGCCGTTGGCGGGGACGTGAGTGTGTCCAGCTCTGGCTCAGCTGACAGTGTGCCCGGGCACGCTTGCTCCCCGGGCTGCCCCGTGCCTTCTCTGTCAGAGGGGTCGGTCACCAACAGCGGCTCTGCAGAGCTGTAGGGACTGACACACGCCCTCAGGGGTGGGCACCGGGCAAGTGCGGGAGCAGAGTTGGGCTTGGGGCCCCACCCTGAGCCCCGGGCTTCGGGACGCGCCTGGCTGCCTCTGCCCCATTAGCGTGCGTGGCCTCCACGCTGAGCCTCGGTGGGCCCCAGACGGTGTGTCAGGGCTGGGGGTGTTGTACCCCTTTGTCCAATACCCCACGCTGCGTGGAGGGAGAGTGTGGTGAGTGAGAACCAGGCGTCTGCGCAGGCACCGTCCCGCAGGAAAGCCCCCGGACAGGCAGACGGGCCGCGCCAACACGCGGTTCTCCTCGGTCGTCCCCGTGCCCGGCTCGCACACAGCTGCCCCGCGCGCCCGTGCGGGCAGGCGTTGCCTGACTGTCGCCTCAGAGCACTTCTCTGAGAGGCAGCCGCGATACCCCGTCTGCATGCAGGGTGGTCCCGGCCATGCGTGCTACCGTGCTCCCTGCGGACCCGTTCCCGACACATCTCTCTCCCTGCAGCCCACTGTCCGGGCACAGGAAGTGGACGGCGCCGACGGGTGAGGGCAGCTGGCTGCAGGTGGTGAATCTGTGCCCGGTAGAGTCGGGAGAGAAGCAAGTGAGAATCCCCGCGGCCGTGAACACAGTGAGTACGTGGTGACTGTCGTTGGTCTGGGCTGTTTCGGTGGGAACAGAGGGGGAAGCTTCACCAACGAGGGGCTTGGAGGGCAGCTGCCTCTGTTGGTGACATCTTAAAAACCAGCACTGCATCTCCAACAGCTGATCACGGCGTGTTTCCCTTTGCTGCCAAACAACACAGGCCCCTTCTCCCCTCCAAAGCCTAGAATTAAAATATGGAATTGCCTGTTGAAGTAGTCCTTGGAATCCAGTGGCTTTGGTGTATATAAAATGCTGCTTTTTAAGGGTATTTTCCATATTTTTAAAACCTGATGTTTGTTTTTGTGTTGCGTTTTTTGTTTTTTTGGGTTTTTTTTTTTTTTTTCGGTTTTTCTAGGTTGTTTTGTTTTTGCTTTTATTTTTGGCGGTGCTGGGATCCACCCGGGGCCTCATACATGTGAACAGGCCCCTCTGCAACTAAGCCACATTGCTGGCCCTGGTTTTTGGCTTCTCTTCAATTGCTTTACACCAGATTGTGCGTTCTGCAGAGTCAGCCGTTAAAACGGCCTTCCTTCACCTTCCACTTGAAGACTTGAGTCCTGGTTTCCTCAGACAGCTCAGGAATCATCTCTTTACGTTTGTGTAATGTCCATGAAGTTTCTTTCTGTAACAGCAAAGAAACTTACTGGGATGTTTCCTTCTATCTGACATGATCATTTCACAGCATATCTTCTGGTGGGGTACTGCGGGAGCGGAGACCAGTGCTCTGAGCTCCCGAGTGCCTGAGACCAGCACCCAATCCCTGAGGAACTCTTGGGACTGCCCCCCCCAGGCGAGTGTGGGCGCTGCCAGGAGGCGGGGGTCACACTGGCCAGTGAGCAGGCCTCCCCGAAACTTCCAGAATGTGCCCCGCATGCAATTTGGTCTGAACAAAACAAACAGGAAACAGGATAAATTGTTTAAATGTTAACTGTTGCCCCTGGGTTAGCGTTGTACATTTTTATTGTGTTATTTTTGCTTGTTCGTCTTGAATTCATTATTCTTAGCAGAAAGAAATGTGAAGCCCTAATTTTCTTTTGTTTGTCTGCAGCGGAAATGCTGATTTAACTGGCAGGAACGGTGCCGCTTGACTGTGTCTTGCTGGCCGGTTCCCTCCGCTGCCCCCTCTCTGCTCAGATGAGCCTCTGGGTGCTGAAATGTCACTGAGATCTCAGCTGTTGCTTTTAACCTTGCAGATGAGAGAAAGTGATTTGCGGGGATGGGGAAAGGGTTTTCCCGGCGCAGAAAGGACTAATGAGGGGTGACTCGGTGACCTGTGTGTGACCTGCTAGCTGACAGCCGCGCCCACGCCCCAGCCCATTCACTTATCGACTTATACGCAGTCATTAGTTTATTTCTCTATTTTAGGTGGTGTTTGATATTCGAATTAAAGCCATAAAGGAATTAAAATTAATGAAGGACCTAGGTAATCATTTATGTTTGCTTTTGTTTGGTTCGGTTTGGTTTAATTTAGTTTTGTTCTGATTTTTTTTTTAATTGAAAAGAATATGGGGAAGTATCAAAGAATCATTAGGGGGGGAAAAAATCACACACCTACCACCCAAAATGGACAAATGTTAACATTTTCGTCACATGCTTGCTTTCATTTGAGACATTAACAAATCAAGTTCAAGCCGTCCGCGCTCCCCCCCCGGAGACGATCGTGGTCCCTCACCATGTCTCTGGCCGACTGTCGCAGTCCCTGTCCCCGTGTCCGTGGTCTCTGTCCGTGGTCTCTGCGTCCGTGTTGTTCTGTGTGCATCATGCCGCCACATGTCTGCAGCTCCACGCATTTTCATTTCCGGAAATGAAATGGCCAGACGGAATGTCTCCTGCGAACTCCCTGTGGAGTCGCCCTTCGGTTTGTGGTTCACCTACCTTCCCACCTTTGTCCTCCGGGATGGGTGTGTGGTCATCCGTAAGCTGGCAGGGCAGCAGAGCCAGGCCCTGCGTCTCTCGGTGCGTCTGTCGCCTGCTCCGGCTCCTTCCCGTCTCTGTAGCATGCTTTTCTGGCCTTTTCGGGTCCGTGGGGGTCATTCCCCAGGGGGCCTTTGAGCGTGGGCTTCTCCCACGTGGCTCACCATCCCCGGGCCCCCCACGGCCCCAGGAGCCCCTTTTCCTGGCTGGCCTTCTCCTGCATGGCTGTAATCCCGCTTTGTCTCCTCACTCACCGCCTGGCGGGGCGTCTGGGTTATTTCGCCTTTTGCCTGCTATGAGCCGCGCTGCTAGAGAGAGGCGCGCAGGAACGTCCTGTCCGGGAGTGAAACCGCAGGGTCATACGGCAGATCACACCGACCTCAGTCGCCCTGCAACGGGGAGGACTCTGGGAGCCGGGAGCCCGGGTTTCCATCCCTGCTACCACGTGGTCGGCTGGGCACCACTGCCGGGCGTGGGCACCCCCTGCCCCCAGCAAAGATGACTGGCTCATTGCCATCTGTACCGGCGACCGTGTGAGGCTCGGGGTTTCTCCACGTCCCGGCCAGTCATTGTAACTGTGGTGTATCGTGATTGTGGTTTTTCAATTGCAGTGAGTCCGGACTCACTCACTGTGCGTGTAACTGCATTTCCCCAGCGTGCCGTTGCCGAGACTGTTGCGTGCGCTGCTTGCCTGTCTAAAGCCTGCGGTTCTCCTGCTGCGCTTTTGCAATTAAGCACTCGAGTCAGCAGGCAAAAACTCATTAAGTTTCCTCTCAAAGGAAATGAAAAACTCACTCCAGAAAACACAACAGCAGAATGTAAATCATGAAATCCTTGGAGATGAATTGAACGAAATATGTGCAAGCTGTTTATCCTGATCACTGGAAACCGTCGTTCCGAGGATTGGATCCGGGGGTCAGTGTAGGGACGCGGCCCAGTATGTGGACACTTACTGGCGGGAACCAGTTCTCAGAATTGATGTATCGGGACTTTCCCCTGTTTGCAGTGTACAGGCTGGTCCCTAAAGGTGTGTGGAAACTCCCAGAACCTCAAGTATATACGTTTGGGGGCAGGGTGGGGGTGGGCCCAAAATTGAAAGAGTCAGACTCTCTGATATTCAGGCCTAGAACTTCCGTTACAGTAATTAAGGCAGTTTGTCTCGGCATAGGAGTTGGCATATAGGGGGCCGGAGCGATAGTACAGCGGGCAGGGCGCTTGCCTGGCACGCGGCCTACCCCAGGTTTGATCCCTGGCATCTTTCATGGTTCCCCAAGCACTGCGGGCTGTGGCCAGAGCAAACTGAAACAGTGTAAGGAGAAGCTTTCTCAACCAGAGCCACCCCAGGGACCCCCAACCCCCCATACTCTTAAGGGGGCCACGGATGAAAATCCCATCATGGGGGGGTGGTCGGGCAGGGGTGCCGTAGGAGGGGCCTGCGAGAGGACAGGCCTTGGCGGTCTCCAGCCGGCATCCTGCGTCTGCACAGCCAGGAGCCAACGGGAGTTTCGATACTTGTAAAGTCTCTCTCAAGAAGAGGAATGTACACAGAGATTGTGTGCAGCTCAGAGCCGACAAGCCTCACGGCAGCACTCTGAAATCCCAGGTGCGAGACCAGCGGCCGTTTCTCTGCAGAGGTGGGAGCACGTCTCTGGGGAGAGCCTGTGTGTTCTCAGCACCCAGCACTGCACAGTTGGGGTCCGCACCCCAGAGCAAGCCCCCAGCTCAACGTCAGATCGTGGAAAGGCACTGGCTCAACCCGTTACAGCCCAGAGGACTCGATCCCAAGTGTCTGGGAGACGCAGGAGAGGCTCTTGGGTGCTTTTACCCTCAGGGAAAAGGTTGTTTAGGTCGTACAGACTCAGAAACCATGAGGAGGAAAATCTAGTAGCTTGGATGACGTCACGATTCTGGATGTAGGCTCTTTGGTTGACAGGACGAGCTGCGGTGTAGAAGGAAAAGAGATACCAAGTTCATATTGGACAGCACCCAGGTACCCAAGACCATGGAGTACCCACACCCTGCCTGACGGGCACCTGGTCCACAGACACAGGCACTCATGGGACACTTCCCTGGCCGCCACCAGCCGGCGCAGACAAGGACATTTGGTGGCACTTGCCACCACCAAGAGCCGCAGCACAGCACACCCCATGGATTGGTGGGAAGGGGCCGTGTCCGCCCTTTCCTTCCTGCCGTAGCTGTGCACGCGTGGTTCTGGACTCCCCGGGAACTGCATCATCTGGGATCCGGTGGCATTCCCTGCCAGGGGTCGCCATGGCACTCATGTCTGCCTGTGGACATGAGGGGCCATGCTCGCCGGGGGCTTGTACCTTGTTCTGGTGACAGCTGGCCTGCGTGTAGCCCTTGTGGGTGACATCAGACTCCCACACGGCCTCAGCCACTGACCAGCTGGGCTCCTCGGATGATGAGAACGTAGAAGGGATTAACCACCCGTCAGTGGAGATGTGAAGCAGCTGGAACTGGCGTGCATTCCGATGGGCAGTCGCCGTTGGTTATAGATTCTCTTATTCAACGTTATCCATGAAAGTCGAAAGCAGGGCTGAGCGACAGCAAGCCTTGCTTGCAGCCAGCCTGGGTTCGATCCCCGGCATCCCGTATGGTTCCCCGATACCTCCAGGAGTGACTCCCGAGTACGGAGCCAGGAGTGAGCCCTGAGTACAGCCGGTGTCGCCCCAGAACCACAAGGAGGAAGAGAAAACCTCAAGCATTTTCTCGTAAGACAGCAGGTGGAAGTGGCCATCTCCCTGGACACGTCGGGAGCAGACCATGAGTCCCGGAGCGAGCGCGTGGATGTCCTCTCTGTGGGCTGCTGGCCGTGGGCAGAAGCCCTCACCTTGACCTTGCTCCTGGGGCACCAGCGTGTGAGACGTGAGACCCCGAGGGACACGTCCTCCCGGCGCGAGTAGCTCGAGTCACAGCGGCCGCTCAGGACGGGGTGGGGGCACAGCTCACAGCTCAGTCTCCCGGTGTTGCCAGCTGTCCCGTCACAGTGCCCTGGCCGCTCAGACCCGGAGAGTCCCATTCTGAGCAGCGTTGGGCTGGGGCGCGCCAGCCTCATCAGATGGCCTTTCACTAGCCGGTGACCTTTCACCGCCGCCACCTCAGACACCACTCACCAGAGCGCGCCCAGATGCTGGTACTGCCCGGTGTGGAGCGCAGGCTCTGCCGTGGGCACCTCACCTCGGACCCTCACGAGGCGCAAGCTCCGCCACCAGCTCCTTCTCAGACACCCCTGGACCATCCGGCGCCAGCCCTGGGGCATTTACAGGGTGGCGGAGAGTGGGCGGAGATGCCAGTGTGGGCGGGAACCTGAGGGGAGACACGGCTGCCCACGGCTGCCTGCCACATACCCACCGGCTGCGGCTAGAGGGACGGATTGCGGCACCGCCAGCCAAGGGAGGTGGCCGAGGAAGAGGGAAGGACACGCAAGAAGCTTCAGGCTGGACCCGGGAGGGGGCTCCAAGGGGACACAGGCTTTGCCCGCAGGAGCGCGAGCTTTCACACCCAGGCCCTCCAGGTGTGGCCCCTGGCCCGCAAACCGTCCACCTGAGACCCAATAGCGCCCACCACGGGATGCCGGGAAGCAGGGGCCAGGCTGGCAGTGCTGCAGTGCTGGGCACAGTGCTGTGGTCAGCGCAGGGAACACCCAGGCCTGCCCCCATGAGCCCACAGCACCCTCCTGCAGAGACACCCGGAGTCCTGAAGGCCGCGGGGTTGGGGGCAGGGGCGGGAGGCAGTTGGCTTGGGCGCCCTTGACTTCCTGCTGCCTTTCGGCCCGTCTGCCGCACTGACGCCCTCTCTTTGCTCCTAGCCGACAGCAGCTGTCTGAGGCCTATTGATAGGAACGGGAGGCTTCTCTGCCCAGGTAACTTGCGTGCCGCCTCCAGGCCGCACCACGAGCCCGCCGGGGGCCCTGGCATCACACTGGTCGCCACAGGGCGGGGGAGGGGGGCGCTTGAGTGTGGGCGGCAGGGACCCTGGCGCCTTAGGGGAAACCATCACTCTTCATCCCTGCAAGGGTTTTGGTGTCATCTGAGCCTGGAGCAATCCCGGTTGGCTCTTCCTGGCGGCGGACAGGGGGTCTGTTCCAAGCGGCACGAAGGGGGTGGGGTCCCAGCATGAGGCCAGGGGCGGGTGTGGGCACAGGCAGGGACAAGGCTGGGAACCCCACTTCTAGCTGGAGACTCGGGCCGTGCCCCACCAACTTGCCTGGCGCCGTTTAGGGCATTTCCAGAGGGAAGGGTCGGGGCTGCGGCGGGGTCTCCCGGGGAGGGCTCTGGGTCTCACTGTCGCACACCTCATTCCAGTGCCCGACGTGTCCACAGTGAGCGGAGCAGAGCTGAAACTGGGGAGCTCACTGGGGCTGTGCCCTGGGGCGGCGCCCACTTCCTCACAGGTGAGTGCCCGCATCGGGGCGCCCTGGGCAGCTTGTGGTGAGCTTGCTGTCAGAACTGCAGTCATCCTGTGGTTTTTTGTGGGTTTTTCTTTCTTTTTGGGTCACACCCGACGATTCTCAGGGGTTCCTCCGGGCTCATGCACTCAGGAATCATTCCTGGCAGTGCTCAGGGGACCATATGGGATGCTGGGAATCGAACCGAGGTCGGTTGTGTGCAAGGCAAATGCCCTACCCGCTGTGCTATCACTCCAGCCCCATGATTTTTCTTTTTTTCCCTGTTCTTTTGCTTTCTTGTTTGTTTGGGGGCTACACCCAGTGGTGCTCAGGGCCTACTCCCAGCTCTGCATCACTCAGGCATCAATCCTGGCGGTGGCTCAGGGGACTGTACAGGGTGCCGGGGACCCAACCCAAGTAGGAAGTCACCCTGCCCACTGTGCTATCACTTGGCCCCAGATCCACCCACTCGGGTGTCCATTTAACACCCTGACACGGCATGTACCGCTGGTAACACACCTGAATGTGGTTTAAGTAACACACGTTGTAGAGCCTGGTGCCGACCGACTGAAGTTGACGGGGGAAAAAGACCAACCGGCCCAGGTGCCCCGTGAGGCCCTTTCGCTGCGGCCAAACCCTGCTTAGGGAATCTTGAGCTGTGTGTTGTCTCGGCTGCGGAAACCCGCCAGCTCTGATGTCCCTTCCCCGACCCCCACGCGGCCTCCGTGGCGGCAGGGCTGCTTCTGCGGCTCCTTCCTCGGGGGGGCCCGAAACGCCCAAGCACCCACCTGGCCTTCCAGGGTTGGCAGAGGCCTGCGCCTGTGTTTGGGTCAAGGGCACGGCCTGATGACAGCTCTGCCGAGGCCCCAGCTGCCTGACAAACTGTCACTCGGGTCCAGCAGTCCTGACGATGACCTGGCCCCTCGCAGGGGGACTTTGTTCGGGTCTCACGCCCGTTCCTGCCTCCCCACTCCTGCATCTCCCATCGCTGGCGGGTGAAGCAGGTGGGAAATTGGGGCTCCCAGGGAACAGCCGTTTCCCTCACACCGCTGGGTGGGCCCAAGTCCGGAAAGGGAAGGAAGGGAAGGAAGAGCTCTGAGGAGCAGCCGCCGAGAGATGAGGCTGATGTTTACCTGTGAGGCCTTGGGCCTGAGAAACCCAAGTCCCGGGGCCAGTGAGAGGCCAGCTAAGGCGCCTGCCTGCGGGTTCCGTCCCCGGCACCGTGGAGGGTCCCCTAAACGCCACCAGAGGTGAAACCTGGGCAGCGCTAGGGGTGGCCCAGAAACAACCCCCAAAAGTGATTGCGTTAAAGGAAGGAAAGGAGAAGGAGTGAGGTGGGAGAGCAGAAGAAACCAGGCTGGCGGGTCCCGCAGTCAGAGAGGATGAGAGAGAGACGGAACCGGCATTGGCACAGGAACGGGCGTCGCCTCAGTGAGCCCAGGGCCGCGGAACACTCCCCGTTTCTGCAGGACCAGAGGCTTTCCCTTCTTTTATTTGGGGGAGCTGAGGCAGGACCCCACCCCACCGGCTCTCCTCAGCCGGCCCTTGGTTCGAGGCAGGCGCCTGAGGGCGGGATGACGCCCCGGCAGCCACGCGAGGGTCTCCAGAGCACCAGGGTGCTGGGGAACCGGGGGTGGGACTCTGGCACTGACTCCTGACCCAGGTCTTTAAGGGACAACCTTGAGCGACCTCCCGGGGCTCGGTCTGACCAGCGTGCGAGGCTGCCGGACCTTCGGGTTTTCGCGGGTGGGGGTGAGTGGGTGAGTGGCAGAATTTCTCACGCGCATTCACCACCCTCCCTTGCTCCAGCTCTTCCTGTTCTTCGCCGTGGGGAGTGACGTGCAGCCCGGGTCCGAGATGGAGGTCATCGTGGAGGAGACCGAGTCCGTGAGGAACGTGAGTGACGCCCGCGAGGACCGGGCCTTGGTGCAGGGGGGACCCGTCAGAGCTGAGGTCGGGGAGTTTTCCAGACTCGGTGACCCAACCAGTGTGTTTGTTCAGTTTGCTCGGTCAAAAGGAAAAGCGAATTCCTTGTCATCCCTTACTCCAGCAATAGGAATATTTTGGCCTGTTCTGGGGCCTTTACTTTTCACGCACATACACACGGGGGTGAGCGTCTCTGTGTCTGCGTGTGGTGGGTAACGATGCCGCTGGCGCTGAGAACCGGCCTTTCGGTACAAGGACCTGAGCGGCCCCAGGGCACCGGCGTGGTTAAGTGAAGCCGGTAGCAGATTTGAAGCGTCTGGAAAAGCTTAGTTGTTTTTTTCTTTAAAAATGTTTTTCTGGAATATGAAACCAGCTGCCAAGTAGTGGAAAGGGGCAGCCAAGTGGAAAGGAGAAGAGCCATCAAGGGGTGACCTGGGACAGCGGAGGCCCTCTGGGAACTTGGTTGCTGGGGGCAGATTTATGTATCGATACTGTAAACTGCACTACTGCAATTACATAAGCCAGAATACATTTTTATAAGCAGCCAACATGGCCAACCCAAGTTCGATTCCTCCGCCCCTCTCGGAGAGCCCGGCAAGCTACCGAGAGTATTCGATATGCCAGACACAGTAACAACAAAGTCTCCAATGGAGACGTTACTGTGCCCGCTCGAGCAAATCGACGATCAACGGGAGGGCCTTTACCTTTAAGTAAAATTTTAAAAAGGCAGATACGTGAAAAAATAATTTTTAATGGGGAAGAAGATACTTTTCCAGGGCCAGAGAGAGAGTTCCAGGTGGTCCTTGCTTTGCCTGCGGCCAGCTCGTTTGTTTGACCTGCCACGTGTGGTCCCAGGGCGCTGCCAGGGGAGACCCCTGGGCACCTCCAGGTGTGGCCCAAAGGAAGCAAACAGGGACTGAGGCTGCCGCTGGGGGGGGGGGGAGCACTTGCAAAGCATGAGGCCCTGAGTCTGATGCATGTGCGTATGTGGCACACACGCCCAACACGTATGCTGTGTGTGGCATGCGTGTCAAGCCTCCCCCCAGAAACCAGCCCCCGCCCAGTGGTATCAACATCCACCCCCAGTTCTGGTCAGTCTGGGACTCCTGGGGAGAGGCAGGTTCTGCACGGGAGATCAGGAGCGTGCGGGCCGGAATGCACTTCTGCCCCCATGCCGGGGGCCGCCGTGAGTGCCCGGCTCAGGGCTCCTGCTGCTGGCGATGTGGCAGTTTGAGCCTGTGGGGCTTGATCAGGGCACACACAGGCCCCCGAGTCCCCGCCCTGGACACCGGGGAGCCCAGCGCTCTCCCTGGTTTCCCGAGCCGGGCATGCGAGAGGACGGGGCGGCCAGATGGACCGTGGCAGTGGAACCCCGGACTTCAGGATGCCGATCCTGTCACTCCTGCTGAGGCTGGGTCTCCACGATCCCGAAGAGTCTGCCGGCAGCTCGGAAAGAGCCGCCCCAGCATGGGACCCCAGCCGTGGGACCCCCGCGGCAGCCGGGCATGGCCGAAAGAGCAGAGCCCCGGCTTTGCCGCTGCGAGCGTGCTTGGTTGCCAGCTCAGTGCCCGAGGCCCGAGCACCACACAGCCCCTGCGGCCCCCAAATCCACACTCAGTAGACGGTGTTTTTTTCAGCGGGGGAGACCTGCGGGGCCCTTGGGACACGTTTGTCCCATTTTCCGAAGAGAAATTGGGTGTAAAATATGTTTAGGTATGAAATAGCTCAACTTGTAAGATTATCTTTGAAAGTATTATTTCAGACAGGTTTGGGTTTTTTTTTTTTTTTAGCTCTGTTCTCTTCTTTCTCACGCCTCAGAGGGACCTACAGTCCCTGAGGGCCCTGCCCTGGCCATGTCGTGCCTGGGACCCCCGCCCTGTGCGGCTGAGAGGGCCAGGTGTGGGCTCTGCTCCACACTCACGTGGTTTCTCCTCAGATTGCAAAGGCCTTTGAGGACTTGGATCTCTTTTCCCTGAGAATTGTATTAGGCCCCTCCTTGGGTTATTTGAGCCGCTCTTTGGTCGAGGCGTGATCATCCTGCTACTACCCGCCCGTGGGATTGACTCTGCCCTCAGAGAGAGAAAGAGTGTGTGTGTTTGTGTGTGTGTGTTTGTATGTGTGTGTGTGTGTACGCACAACACCCAGCAATGCTCAGGGGTTACTCCTGTGCACTCAGGAATTACTCCTGGCGGTGCTCAGGGCACCATTTGGGATGCCAGGGATGGAACCCGGGTCAGCCGCGTGCAAGGCAAACGCCCTCCCAGCTGTACTATCACTCTAGTCTCTCCTCAGTTAATTTAAGACTTTTTTCAGCTGAAGAAGTTGGGCATTTTTCGTGTGTGTGTGTGTGTGTGTTTAAACTTGTTGGCAGGTCTTCCACTCTGCCAGGTCCCAGTTGGTACAATTCTTTCCTTATGCGTTTAGACCCGTTGTGTTTCACGAGTGTCTAATGAAGCCTAGTCCCCTTCTAGAGGATTTCCGAGTTCCCGTGGTCCTGTGAATCAGCTGCACATTTAGGCATTTAGGGGCTAGCGGGCAGGGCAGGGGCTGGGCATTTGCCTGCACACACAGCTGACCCTGTTTGGGTCCCTGGCGCCGCATATGGGCTCTTGAGCCCCGCCAGGAATGGTCCCTGGGGAATAGCATAACGCCAGGATTAAGTTCAGAGCCCAGCTGGTGTGGCCCCACAAAATTAAATGGACGTTTAGTCCCCAAACAGTCGGATCTAAAAGTGGATGAACCAAACTTTGGCTTTTGGCGGGGGGTGAGGGAGGGGGTGGGGGTCCACACCTGACGATGCTCGGGGGTTCCTCCTGGCTCATGCACTCAAGAGTTACTCCTGGCAGTGCTCAGGGGACCATATGGGATGCTGGGGAATTGAACCTGGGTCATTGCAAGGCAAATGCCCACCTCACTGTGCTGTCGCTCCAACCCCAGGCCTTGAACTTTGTCCCCGTGGCACTCACCGGGCTGGTGTCAGCTCCTGTCTGTCCCCACCCAGCTGTCCAGAAGGCGCTGGCTCCATTACCTGCCCGTTTATCACTAGATCGTCTCTATCTCCTTGAGAATTATTAACTAATCAAACTCCAGTGGCCTTGGGGGGTGAATAAAGTGTATTTCTCATAAACAGAAAACTAATGACTTTTTTTATTATTATTATTAATAGTGTTTAAAGATAATGCTGGAGAAATCCGGCCTTCAAGGTAAGTAACAAATACTGATCAGATAATCTTACCATACCTTTCTCTTATGTAAATTTTCTCCAAGCCTAATGAAAACTGCCTCGACCTTTTGGGACCTTTTCTTTCTCTGGGGTTGTGAGCTTCCTGGCTCTTGTTTGCGGATGAAAGAAGAGCCAGCTTGTTGCCAGCTTGTAGCTCAGCCTGGGTGAAGGGCCTGAGGGGCACTTCCCAGGGAGGTGTTGGGGAGGATGGCATTTACTGCTCTCAGGAGTCCCACGCCCTCCTCTCACTGGCTAGGTTTCTATTTTGATGTTTTGGTTTTGGGGGGCCACAGTTGGCAGTGCTCGGAGATGAGTGCTGGCTCTGTGCTGGGGATTGTGCCAGGGATTAAACCAGGGTCAGCCGCATGCAAGCCCCGTGCCCTGCCCCATACAGCCCCTGCTGCTCTGTCAAACCTCAGCTGTGGGGACCTGCAGCGCCGTGTGTGCTGCCACGGGAGAGATGGCGCCTCCAGCTGGCTCTAGGGCCAGGCTCTGCTGGGACCCCACCCCTGTGCTCTCGACCGTGAGACAGGCTGACAACACTGTCACACCCGCCTTTTTTTTTTTTTAGCATGCTTAGATTTTTCAATCTCAGGGCTGGAGCAATAGCACAGCGGGTAGGGCGTTTGCCTTGCACGCGGCCAACCCGGGTTCGATTCCCAGCGTCCCATAAGGTTCCCTGAGCACCGCCAGGGGTGATTCCTGACTGCAGAGCCAGGAGTAACCCCTGGGCATTGCCGGGTGTGACCCAAAAAGAAAAAAAATATAAGATTTTTCAATCTTGATATAACCATCACGTTAGAAGGGGGGTTTCGAGGGACTGGAGCGATAGCACAGCAGGTAGGGCATTTGCCTTGCATGCAGCCGACCGGGGTTCGATTCCCAGCATCCCATAGGGTCCCCTGAGCACCGCCAGGAGTAATTCCTGAGTGCAGAGCCAGGAGTAACCCCTGAGCATCACTGGGTATGACCCAAAAAGCAAAAAAAAGGGGGGAGGGGGCTCGAGATGGGCATGCGGTGGGGCCCGGGGCCGCGGCCTGTGGACAGAGGGTGTTTCTGCGGTGGCTTCGGGGAAACGGCTTCTGCAGCGTCACTGTTGCTGCCTGACCCCGGGTCACTGGCCAACTTCTCTCAGCCTCTCCAGGCTCAGAAATAGTCGTCCTCCCCTTTCTCCAGTAGCGAATATGCGCAAAGCAGTCTGCCACAGGCTGCCAACTCTGATGGTCACCGACAGCGTCCTCGTTAAAGAGCCGTTGCAAAAGCACAATTTCTTGCTAGAGCAAGACCCTAACGGGAGAGAATTGTGTGAGTGTACGTGTTATCAATTGCCAAGCGATGTTAGGGGCTCTCAGGGCCATCAAACTCAGCTCCATGGCTGTTTTCGAAGGGCCGCTCTGGTTACGTGTACGTCTCTATTCAGCTTTGGGGATATATAAATAATCAGCCATCAGCAAGGGTCCATTATATTGGCTCGTATACGGTTCTTGGTCAGTTAGAGAGTGAATCCGCCAAATCGGGAGCCGGCTTAGTATTTCCCCTGCTGTATATAACGACTTTCAAAATATTTGATAATTATTGGTGGGTCAAGTCCCATTTTATAGCCATTCTTCTAGAAAGGTCTTACGTGACTAACTGTTAAGATGTGTTCCTCCGAATTCTTTTTCAAACCTAATTTGGTTTCCTCCACAGGAGACACGTGGCATTTACGAAAAATGGATTGGTGCTATGAAGCCGGAGAGCCGTTAACGGACGAGGTAAGATCACGTCTGTGCCAACAACGTCTGGCTTGTGCTTTCATGCCAGATGCCAACCCTACTCCCGGGGGTAACTAGCCGAAGTGTTTCTGTAGCATCAGAGAGGTCTGGACGGGCATCTCCCCTCCCTCTTCCTGCTGTAGTAGGTCTCTAGACTCGGGGGCAGACTCAGTTAAGTAGGAATGTTCTGGCATCTGTGTTCAGTCATCTCCTGATATGAGAGTCCCACCTCGGAAATAGGAACTATCATTCAGAGACCGAACCTCAAAACAGAAGGATCTGAAGTAAAGAATCTGAAAATTATGGGGCTGGAGCAATAGCACAGCGGGTAGGGCGTTTGCCTTGCCCGCGGCTGACCCAGGTTCAATTCCCAGCACCCCTTAGGGTCTCCCAAGCACCGCCAGGAGTGATTCCTGAATGCAGAGCCAGGAGGAACCCCTGAGCATCACCGAGTGTGACCCAAAAAAGAAAAAGAAAAAAAAATCTGAAGATTTCGATTTTGAAACTGTTGTAATCTCAGAGTTGTGAGCTGGTTTCATGGAGGCAGAAGCTGTCTGCTGATCTGGCTATGCAGTACACACGGCGTCTCTCGGTCTCTGTGTGGTACAGACGGTCTCTCTGTCTCTGGGAACCTGAGGGGACCGAGGGGCAGCTTTATCTTGGGGTCTTGGAGTCTGGGCCAGGGACAGCACAGCAGGGAGGACACTAGCCTTGCACCTGGTCACTCCGCGTTGATCCTGCACCCAGTATGGTCCTCCCAAGCCTGCCAGGAGTGATCCCTGAGCAGCACCAGGTGTGGCCCAAAACAGAGACGAAAGAAAACTCCCTGGCCCAGAGTGTATCCTTGGAGCCGCCCCAGGATGGAGGCAACTGGGATAGCACGGCTGGCACCTGCTTCGTCTCTTCCTCCTCCTGCTCTCTGCAGGTGGCTGCCTGCGGGTCACTCACTGGCCCAGTCCAAACGCTGGCCACGTGCCACCAGATGCCCTCCTGGATCTTGGCTGGGAACAGGCTGCCCAGAGGCAAAAATGGGCCTCCGAGATGCCTCTGGGCACCTGGTTGGGGTCAGCAGAGCATACCCAGGGTGTCGGGTCCTCGGTGGCCATGTCGTCCACACAGATACGTTTCCTCTGAACAGGCCGGCGGCCGGGGAGGGCAGCGCCTGACCCTGCGTGAGGCCACCTGCTGCGGCGCTGAGTGCCCGGTGTTCGGGCTAAACGGGGCGCCCCTTCTGCCACCCTCTGTGCCTTCCCCAGCATAGCCACTCGCTGTGGCCTTCACCCCGCCCAGCCCTGTCCCTGCTCCCAGCTTCCGCATCGTGGGCAGCGTCCCTGGGGCTCCCTCTCCTGTGCGCCTCCTTGTTCTCTCCCTCTCTGCCTCACTTTCCCCCGACCTTCACCGTCACACTTCAGACCCACCACGTAAAGCGCAACTGCCCCCTCTCGCCTTCCCGGGACCCCTAGCTCCAGCATCCGCTCCACTGCTCATGTTCCTTAACGGCCCCAAAGCAATGACCCGGTGGCCCAGTGGTCCGTGCCTTTCGGGGGGATCCGAGAGTGACCAGCAGGAAACTGACCAGCCCGTTTGTCCTTCCAGGACGCAATGCTGAGAGAGCTGGCCGTGCGCTCCGGGGACACTCTGCTCTTAATGGAAGGGAAGCTCCCGCCGCCGGTAAGACTCGGCTTCCGGGCCATGCTGGAAGCGCCTGACTGTTCTCTAAGGCAAAGGTGATCCCTTCCCGGGGTGTGGAAGGGAGAGATGCGGCAGGCGTAAGGAGGGAGCCGGGCGGTGCGCATGCTGGCTGCTTCCTTAAATACCACTGTTCTGGACATCAGTACGGCGCTCCAGCCCTGGTGCAGGGGTGAGTTGGCTGTGTCTGGGGCTGAGCTCCAGCCCTTTACAGGGGTGTCTGCCTTGTTCAGGGGCCGCCCTGTAGCTCTTACACATGCGTCTGCCGTCTTGTGCGTGTTGCCGTGTGCAGCCCTGCTGGGCCCCTTTCATGTTCAGAGATTCCGCGTTACCGTGCCCATGACGCCACACTCTTCGGGCCCTGGAGACAGTCCAGAGGGTCGCACACAGCCCATCTGGATTTCATCCCTGCACCCCGTGTGGACCCCGAGTCTCCTAGGAGTGATCCCTGAGCACAGGCCTAGGAGTAAGCCCTGAGTACCGTCAGGTGTGACCCAAAAACCAAAGTCAATAAAATTTCATGGCACCAAGGGTCGGGGACCCTCTTCCTGCGAGTCGAGTCAGCACCCCTGCCCACAGCCTGTCCATCTGTCTGTCCCACAGCCGTCTGCCCTTGGCACCGGTGGAGGGGCACAGAGGCCAGGGAAGCGTGGCTGTCTCTTCATGTACACGGACGTCACTCACTCCCACGTCCCCGTTGTCCCTCGCTGTCCCCGATATTCCGTGTCCCCGTGTGTCTGCCCAGAGAGCCCCTGCTCGGCCCCACAGACCCTGTCTCTGTGTCATTTTGAAGAATTCTGAGCTGATTTCCAATGTGGGGTTCCCACAGGGCTGCCGCTGTGCTGGTCCGCCTCTGTCGGGGTCCCCACGCCTGCGTGACTCTGTCAGAGGCCATGACATCCTGCCAAACTGCCCCCCAACTCGGCCTCATAAGCAAACTGCGACAAGCAGCCTGGCCTCTGGGGATCATTGTGTCAGAGGGTCAGACTTGCTCTGCTCGGTGTGGCCGGGACCGGACCTGTGTGACTGGGACCTGACACGTGTCACTGGGACTTGACACATGTGGCCGGGACCTGACACGTTTGACTGGAATCTGCTCTGTGTGTCCAGGCACCTCAGTGCTGGCGGCCCAGGTCACTCCTGCCCCTCCTTTCCCTTGGTTGCTGCCATGACGAGGGCTCACACCCCTGTGATCACAGTGTCACCCTGGGCCCACACGGCAGCTGACGGGCTCACGCCGATTGCCCGTATGCGGGATTGCCGGGACCCGGCTCAGCCTGTCGCCTGCAGGGTGGGTGTCCTGGCTGTCTGAGGGGTTCAGCTCTGGGTGCGGGCGGCCTGTGATGCAGCGGTGAGAAATGGGCCATCCGGTCCCATCTCACAGAACGGAGCGAGGTGCTGGTCCTCACCAGCCCCGCACTTAGGGAAATACTTTCATTTTAGCCTTTTTTTATGAACTATGCATTTAAAGACTTAAGTCATGAGGGGGGCCGGGGGCGGTCACACTCTCGTCTTCTGCATCTGGAAGTCAGACACAGTGACATGTTCCCTGATAAACCAGCCCCTGGCCCTCCAGGGTCAGGGGTGTCGTGAGTGGTCGTCACCCGCGTCTGGGGCCTGTCAGGATGTCACCCAGCACGCCGCCCGAGTGTTTCTTGGCGTCTGTGTCACGCCCGTTGTGACTCCTTCTGTCGCCGCGTCTCCAGTGCCTCCAGCCGTCACCCCACACTCGCACATGCTGGGCGGCTCAAATCAAGCAGACACTCGCCCGGCCCTCTCAGGGATGGGGATCACAGCGCTGCTCCATGCCCATGACCCCAGTTGGAATTGTTCCATCCTGCAGGGGTTCCTGAAGGTGCCCATCTGGTGGTACCAACCTCGGGGGCCCTCGGCTCACTGGAGGCGGCATCCAGAGCCTGCGAGCTGCCTGTCGTCCCCGGACGCCCAAGGTGAGAGCGGGGATGCCAGGGCGGGAGGAGAGCCACAGTCTCGGGGCTGGGCCACGTCACACACACCCCACCCAGGCCTGTCCCCAGCACCCACCATGGTCCCCAACCCCGCCAGGAGTGAACACAGAGCCAAGAGTTGGCCCTTGGCACTGTCCAAGCATCCTATCCCCACAGACCTCGAGGCCATGTGAGGCCTCTGGGAGTCCACGGGCCCTGGGGGAGTGGACGCACCTGCTCGTGGGGCCCCAGCCTGGCTCAGGCTGCTTGGAGCCTCTGACTTGCCCTCACACTTATCCCGCGGTAGTCAAGGGAATGCAACTGAGCCCGTTTCCTCCTTCCTCCCTGCTCTGGCTGGGGAGGCCCCGAGTATGCAGAGCGGGTGACAATTTGGTGAGACGTGTCGTGGCCTGAGATCAAGCTGAGGCCCCTCAACACCTATCCCCTAGGCGACAGTCCCCTCCTCTACCTGGGTGACGTGGAGCTCTCCGAGGATGCCACGCTGCTCGACCTCAAGGCCCAGGTGAGGCGCCTCCTCCCTCCCCTCCCCTGCCCACGCCGCGCCCACAGGGCCTGGCCCTGCTCACAGAGAGTCTGACCATTGTTTCCGAGTGAGAAGGAGAACGTTCGGGCTGGCCCTCAGGCCGGGGACCCAATCCAGAAAAAGGTTTTTATTAAAAAGTTTGAGATGTCCCTGGGCCTTGAGCCGAGGACCTCAGAGGCTGGTCTGAGGGCATCCCTGAACCCATCTCCCTCCCTGCGTATCTGACGTCTGTCCACTCTCTGCCAGGCCATGACCCTGCCCTCCTTCTGGGAGTTCGTCGTCCCGTCCCCGGCCTGCCTGAGGGCCTGGACGGTGGAAGGCAGACGGCCCGGCCGGCTCCTGCGCCGCGGCCAGCAGCCGCTCAGGTGGGTTCCCGCCACCCGGCCACGCCTCCCTGTGCGTCTTGCCTGCCGGTGCGGGCTCTGGCCGCCTGGCCTCGTCCTCGTCACATTTTCGTCCGCGCCCTGCAGTGCCTCTCCATTCGTGGTGGTTCCCTTTGCTCACACTCTCCGGGGGTCGTCTGCAACTTAGACCAGTGTCGGACCTTCTGAATTCCCCGGGGTGTTCTCCCGGCGCCCTGACGGCGGGGCCTGTCGTGGCCCGGTCAGGACAGTCTCGATGACAGACTCAGGAGCGTGATGCCTTCAGCTTTATTCCTTTCCAAAGTTACCGTGGCGGTCGGATTGGTTTTCTTGTAGGCCCATGCAGAGTTCAGGATTCCTTTTTTATGTCTGTGGGAACTGTTGGATTTGGGGGGCCAGAGAGCACATCCAGGAGGTGAGGCCTGGGCCCCATCACCTTCGCCGTCTGGAGTGCCGCAGCCAGGTGCCCTCGCAGAGCTGTACTTGGACTAGATCCCGAGGGGGACCTGCGGGGCCGTGTGACTTGTCGTACCCTTAAGTCCTGGAGGAAGCCTCGCGCTGGCCCGTGGAGACTCGTGACACAGATTTGCTGTTCCACTGCCTTCCTGCGGCTCTGCTCTCTGGTCTGCTCTTCGGAGGAGAGGTTGGGGAGGGTGGGCGCACATCCAGCTGTGCTCAGGAGTCACCCTGGTGGTACTCGTGGGGCCGTTTGCGGTGCTGGGATCGAGCTGGGGTCAACCCAACCCTGTGCGCCCTCTCGGGGCCCTGCACTGCCCCATGTGGCCGCTTTCGTTCTGCATTTCCCGGAATCAGTGATTTCCCCGCCAGATGTTGGCTCACTGTGACTGGGAGGGTGGGTGGTTTCCTCGTTGAGTTTTGGAAGTGCCTTATGGACCTGGTCAGATGGTGAGTGAATGTTTTTCCCTTGCGGTGCTGGCGTTTTTAGCTTGATGTGTTTCCATTGATTCATTTTTTCCTCACCAATGGAGTTGACTCACAGAAGACCCCAGAGGCGAGCATGACAGGATGCTGGCCCGGTTCTTTCCAGTGTCGTCGGAGCAGTCTGCCGTCTCGGCCTGCGCCCCACTCTGAGTCAGCCATTCCCACAGCAGGAGATAGATGATGGCCCGTTTCTGCCCGTACCCCCGGTGGGGCTTCCTTTCTCCCCTTCCCAAGTGACGCCATACACACACCTGGGTTCGTCTGGGGCTCGTGGTTCTGCGCTCTCGACCCGTGGTCACTGCTGCCCTCCAGGCCAGCCACCCCGGGGCTTTGAGGGTTCCAGACCGCGTCTGTTCTGGTCCTCGGATGCTGCCGGATGCCGCTTGCAGTCGCACACATCAGGGTGCTGGATTCTGCTGGGGGCTTCTGCATTTCCGCAGCAGAGATGCTGTGACGTGCTTTTCTTCCTGCATCCACATGGTTTTGTTACCAATTAATGCTGGTCTCCTAAAATTACGGAAGATCTGAGAATATTTTGTATTCTTCAAGCGATGGCTGCAGTTTGCCCTTGAAACCATTTTCTGAGTAAGGTTTTCCCATCACTGCTCAATTGTTAGCTTATTTAGACTTTTCATTTGTTTATGAGCATATCTTGGCATATTTTGTTTTTCTAGGACTTTTTTCCATTTTTACCTAGGTTTTTCAACGGATGGTACAAAATAATTCACTGGTAGTCTCAAATTTTGAGTGTTCTTAAGCAGTTTCATATCCAGCATCACCTTCTGCCTAAGAAGAAAGCTTGAAATTAAGCGATATTTTTTTCAGTTAAGTGATGTCAGTAGCATTTTGTTCATTTGTTATCAGGGAATATAAGCTGGGAAGGAAAACTGAGATCTGCTTGGAGCCGCTTGAGAGAGAAGAAAACCTGGGGTAAGGTGTCACCGCACCAAAGATCTGGCGGAGTTTCTCCCAAAGTCAGATCTGTGGATTTCCTGGATCTGTTCTGGAACCCTGCCAGCAGTCCGGTGTGGGGGAGGGGACACTGGGCAGCCAGTGATGACACTGTCATACTGTGTGTCCCCCCCACACACACGCTCTGGCTCTGCCTGCGGTCTGTTCGTCTCCCACGTTAGAACAGAAGCTTCATGGGAGACCAGACTTCGTCTGGGGGTCACTGCTGTGCCCCAGGTCCTGAGCAGACCCCATGTGATTATCCTCAGTGACACTCTATTGGCCAGAGTCACCCTAAACGCACTGTCCACACCCCGGGTCCTCTTCACCCGGGGAAATTCTCTCCTAAGACCATTTTTGGTCACTGTCGCCTAATATGGATATTCTTACCCGAGGAACTGCCCCCAGGGGTTTCTGGGTCAGATGTGAGGGCACTGCCTGGGGTCCCCCATCTTCACCATCCCCGTCCCATAGACAGTCAAGGGTCCACTGTCAACCCCGCCCCCAGCTGTGGTCTTTGTCAGCAAGGGCCACTGTCCCTCGGAACCGCTGGGGTTGTGCAGGGTCTGGCCTGTCTCGGGGCTGAGGGTCCCTGTGACCTGGTGCGCCTGGGCCCCAGCAGGCCCCAGCAGGCCCCACCCTCCAGCCCCAGGTCGTGCTCGGCCCCCGCCCCCTCCGCCCGCAGTGCTGAAACCCTGCACCTGCATCTCCTCGTGTCCACCAGCTGGGCCAGCAGCTCCCCTTTGCCCCGTCCCCCCTCCTCGGGCTCCTCCCAGGGGCGACCTCCCGCATCCGTCCTTCCTTCCTCGAGCCTGCCCGTCCGCCAGCCTCCCAGGGGGACACGGGCCCCGTCCGGTGACGCAGCGCCCGGGGGACGTGGCCCTTCCCGCGTCTCACCTGGCCCGGCGCAGCCCACAGGACGTGCTGCTCCGGACGCGGATGCGCCTTCCCGGGGAGCGCGAGTACGCGCTGTCCGAGGACCTGGTGTGGGACACGGCCCAGGGCTGGACGGCCACCTCCCTCCGGCAGTGTGTCGCCCGCTTCTACGCGCTCCCGGTGGAGAAGACGGAAATCGCCAAGTACTTCCCCGACAAGTTCGAGTGGCTTCCAGTGAGCAGCTGGGTAGGTGGGGGCGGCGCCCGCTCCCCCGGGGGTTGGTGTGTGTCTCTGGTGGGCGGTGCCACACTCCATCCTGGCCTGGGAAGTGTGTCGGGATCTGCAAGGATCGGCACTTGGGTGTTTCTGCAGAGTCAACAAAGCACCAAGAGGAAAAAGAAGAAGAAGCACAACAGCCTGCAGGGGGCGCCCTACTACCTGAAAGACGGGGACACCATCGGTATTAAGGTCAGTCCGGCGGGCCCTGCGCTCACGGCCGCTCCTCCAGCCGTCCAGGCGCAGGTGGTCGGAGTCAGGAACTCAGGGCCGGGGGAGTAAGAAGCTGGATGGCTCCTTTCCGGGCCCAGGAGAGCCTCAGTATCAACTGAATCCGCCAGCGTCCTCAGGCCATTGTTCACTGGGTATGGTGCTCGCAGTGCTAGTGCACCCGCAGTAACCCGACCTTTGCCCTGGCTTCTTCATGCCTTGACACTGGACTCAGGTGGACTCAAAGATTCCCTCCAATTAGCCCTTTATTTTTCCTGTACTTTTAGAAGTAGCATTATTGCATAAATAGGCTCTTAGTACTGGCCACCCTTGCATTTATAAGCCCATGTGGTTGCCCGTAGTAATGACTTTGATCCTATTTGCATGTGTGCGTGTGTGCGTGCGTGCGTGCGTGCGTGCGTGCGTGCGTGTGTGTGTGTGTGTGTGTGTTTTGGGTCATACCCGGCGATGCACAGGGGTTACTCCTGGCTCTGCACTCAGGAATCACTCTTGGCGGTGCTCAGGGGACCATATGGGACACTGGGACTCGAACCCAGGTTGGCCGCGTGCAAGGCAAACACCCTACCCGCTGTATTATCACTCCAGCCCCTTTAATCCTAATTCTTAATTCAAAATATTGGGTTTTTTGTTTTTGTTTCTTGGGTCATGTCCAGCAGTGCTCAGGGGTTACTCCTGGTGGCGCTCGGGGAATCATGGGGTGCTGGGGACTGACCCCGGATCGGCCGCACGCAAGGCAAACGCCCTCCCCGCTTTACTATTATCGCTCCAGCCCCACTCGGGAATGATTAAACTTGGTCCCTTGTGAAGTCGCACATTACTGAGAAGGACTCCGAGTCCCTTCATCATTGCGTCCCTTCAGCATGTGGCCAGTGCAGAATTTTCATTCACCCGCAGAAGAAAAGAGAAGTGAAAATTTAAAGATTCAAAAAAAATCAAGTTCCATAGAAAGCATTCGCCAGTGGGCAGCCCTGGGGAGGCAGGTGCCTGGGCACCACGCAGCCCTGCCCGAAGCCTGGAGCCGGGCGACAGAAGTCCTCGGAGCGTGTGTCCCGAGACGGGGCGGCTACGGTGTCAGGATTCGCCTCTGGTGCTGCCTCGTGGCGTTTGTTTAACTCCCTTGGGCACACGTGGCTCGTGGCTCACCCGTCCTTTTGACCCGCAGAACCTCCTGCTGGAAGACAACGACGATTTTAGCACCAGCAGAGATGACGTGGAGAAAGAGAAACAGAAACGGGCTGAGGGGCGCAGGGAGAGGTGAGGCGGGCCGGGCCGAGGGGCGCAGGGAGAGGGGTGAGGCGGGCCGGGCCGAGGGGCGCAGGGAGAGGGGGACCAACCCGACAGCCCGTGTCCTCCACAGACCGGCGGCCCTGCGCGCACCGAGTGGCGACATCTTCTCCGAGGCCCAGGCGGCGCGGCCTCACGGGCCTGAGGCTTCTCTGTCCATCCACGTCGGGACCTTCAGATAGCATCACAGCCGCCGTCCCTGGGGCGCTGCCTCCCGAGGAGGGGCTCCCGTGGCGGCTCTCACCCGTGCCACGCCCGCAGCGGTGCACACCAGCACCCGGTCTCGTGCAGACACGCGGACACAGCACTCGGCCTCCCACCAGACTCGGCGCGGGGTGGTGGGAACGGACAGGACCCAGGGCCGTGCCCACTGCCGTCTCCCGGCTCCGTCGGGGCGGCCTGCACTATTGGTGACACCGAGCACATTCGGTGGCTGCTCCAGGCCGCACCCGGACACTGCAGGACACTGCAGGCCTGGGGGCGGGTTCGCCTGCAGTCAGGGGGCGCCTAGCCCAGGTGGGCACCGCCCACGGCACTAACCCGCACGCAGGAGCCGTGAGGGCGCGGGAGGCGGGTCCGGGCTCCGTAGGCCCTCGCTGCTGGCCTGTCTGGACAGCCTTGGCCCAGGTGCCGCGCGGGGCCGTGCCCCCTGATGCTGAATAAACACGTTTCTACACCCGGGGCTGTCGCTGCTTGGGAAGGGGGTCTCGTCTGCATCAGGTCAGGGGTAAAGAAAGGGTCTGTCCTCGCGGCGGACTGTGGGCTTCGTGCAAACCTCCCCAGCAGGCCCCGGGCAGCCCCGTCTCGAGGCGGGGGGGTCCCCAGTGTGACTCAGACCCTTACTGAGGGGCCATGTTTGGGATCTTGCAGGCAGGCGGGATCCCGGGGGCAAGACCTGAGCTCAGGCCTGAGATGCCTGACGGGTCTCTGGCTGCAGCACTGGAAGCCCCCAGCCCTCCCCTTTCCTGGGTGGACACGGGCCCAGCTGCCACAGCCCCTGTGCACCTGCGTGGCGCTTAGCCAACATGGCCCTTCCAGAAACACGGGGACTCGCTGGGGCGTCCAAGGCCAGCAGCACCTTCCCACTCACTGCCCCCTGCTGCCGACACAAGCAGCTCCCACGGATGCCGTCAGCCCCATCAGCCCGTGTGCCCTGACTGCGGGCGCCTGCCCAGCCCTGCTGTGCCCGGCCTACAGGGAGTTCCCTGCCCTCCGCCTCCACGCTGCCCGTTCACACAGCATCTGCCCACGCTTCACACTCGGGAGCCGAGATGCACGCGAGGTCTGGGGCTCACCAACGGGAGGGGCTGGGACTGAGGGACACTTCTCTCTCCACTCGCGACCACTGTCCATGGCCCACCTGGCTGCTGGCACTCTGGCCACTATGTCCACCCTCCAAACAGGAGAGAAGCAAAGCAGACACTTCCAGAAATCCTGATACTGGTCTTGGGCCCAAAGAGCACACAGTGTGCGAGCACTGCTCAGGAGAGCAACCCAGGGTTTGTGTGTGTGTGTGGCGGGGGGGGGGGGGGGGGGGGGGTCTGTCTGTGTCTTGGGCCCGAATGAGCCTCCAGCGATGGCTTCTGCAAAGGCCAGGACAAGACGAGAGCATCCAACATCCAAACTGCGCCTGGCACCAAACCTGAGCATCCCCCCGAGGCCCACAGCCATGACTTCCCAGTGTCTCAGGTGCCACAGCAGCCCGCCAGGGCCAGGGCGGCAAAGCTTCAGAGGCGGCGCCTGCACCGAGTCCAGCCAGCGACGCACAGCTGGCCCCATCCCCAGGCTCAGAGCATTGACAGTGACGCACAGACAGCTGGCCCCATCTCCGGGCTCAGCCACAGCGGCGAGGAGACCCCCACCCTCACCTGGACCACCCAGAGCACTGTGAGGTGAGCCGACACCTGCACACAGCAGCACCCAACAGGAAGGCAGTGCCTCCCCATCCTGGGACGCGAATCCATGGGCCTCCCCACGCCCGGCTGAGTCCATTTTCGACTAGACAACGCGCTCGGTATTTTGACGCATGAATTTCTTTGGCGGGGAGGCAGGCTTGGGCCACACCTGGCGGGACTCAGAACCGGATGTGGTGTAGCGGGTGGCAACGGCGCTGGTCTCAGGCGAGGCAGGTGCCCTCCCCCTGCACTCTCTTTGGCCGCTGCCCCTCCAGCAGGCTGCTGCTCCGGGCTCTGTACCAGGTGCCGCGTGGGGTGGGCTGCGCGTCAGGCTGGGACCCCGGGCAATGCACCACTGGCCACGAATGCCGGCGCTCACCTGACCTGCCCCCATCATCTGCCAGGGGCTGGCGGGTGTGGCTCGGCCCGAGTCTGTTCGCCCCGGGGAAGGGCAGGCCCAGGAGGAAAGAGCCCGAGTGGACGGGCATCCCCGTGGGCAGAGCCCAGCCTCAGCCCCTCCACCGGGGTTAGCATAGCTGGGAAAGGACTGCGGTGACGTGAACCTATCAGAGGTCAGGGAACCGGAGCTCGGGAAAGCGCGAGGACAGCCGCTGGCTCACTCACACCTGTCAGGACACGCTCGTGTTGGCTGCGATGCCTGGGACAGTGGCAGCCACTCTGTGCCCACAAGGCCTGCTGCCAACTGGCCAGCGGACAGCCACGGCTGCCCAGGACTGGGCTCTGCTGAGCACGGAAGGGACGCAGCTGCCAGGGGGCAACAACGCCCCCGCGCCCAGCCTGCATCACCCCCGACAACGCCCCATGCCGGAAGCACCTCACGGAGGCCTGAGCTGGGCGAGCACCATGTGGCCGCAAGCGGCCGGGCCCTGCTCCCCGGCTCCCTCCTCCCCTGCCTGCCACTTCCGAAGGGGCCAGATTCTGCCGGGCGGGAAGGACAGGCCAGCATGTGCTGCGGAAGATGAAAACAGGCTTTTTATTTTACACAGAATGGGGTCACACCGGAAGTGGGTCTGTACACAGCACAACAAAGGCCTGGTCCTGGGGCACTGTATAAATTAGGGTCATAAATAGGAGAGGGCACACACCTTTGCTCCGGGCGCCCCGCTCGGCCGTCCTCCCCCAGATCCCCGCCAGCAACTGCGGGGTGGGATGGGGGTGGGGGGTTCCGGGGCGGCTCCCGCCTTGCTGGGGGTCCGGGCCCCTGCGAAGAGTGGGAGCAGCCCAGGCCGACTGGGGGCCTGCGTCTGGGGGCACGTGGGGGTCAGCACCGACTCGGGCCGCCGTGCTCACTCCGCGCCCCTCCCCGCGAGACCCCCGGTGACTTGGGAAGGACAAGCTGGAGCGGCGGCGGGAAGCAGGGTCAGGGGCTCGGGGGTGGCCACGAGCCAGCCTGGCTCCGAGAGGGGGAGAGGCTGTTCCAGAGCCTTCTCCACCCAACCCGCCAACCCGCAACGTCCTGGGGGCGGGGGGGAGGGACCGTCCGGTAGGGGGACACAGCTGTCCCATCTGGCGTCCCGGGCGCCCGCCGCTGTCCTCGTGCCGAAAGCCGGCGAGCCGGCCTGGCAACACCCACCACCTGCCGGCAGGAAAGGGGGCGGCTTCGGGAGCACCCGCAGCTCCCACGCCGGCCGGGCAGCCGCTGTGCCCGAGGGGGAGCCGGAGCCCAGGCCCCCCAGCCGGGGAGCTGCAGGGGGAGTCGTCGGCGCCGGGCACGTGGGTCCGCGGGCAGCGAGGGTCTAGCACCGTGAGCACCGGCCTCAGCGGGCCGCACGTGGGCCGCAGGCCGCCAGGGCCACTGCTAGGCCTCAGCCGCAGGCCCGCCGCGCCGCAGCTCCTTCACGCCACACAGGATCCGCTTCATGTGGCCCACCTTGGTCACGCCCAGGTCCTGCAACGAGAGCCGGCCACCCTGAGGCGCACGGGGACCCAGGCCAGGGGCCACAGTTCCCGCCCTGCCCGGACCCCCGTGGCAAGGGGCCCCTTCTACCCCAGAGGCCATGGAGCCAGTCAGACGTGGCGCCGCGGTGGCTCCCCTTGGCTGTGAGCTGTGCTTGGGGTTGGGGGAGGGGGTCGCACAGAGCCACGGGCCAGGCTGGAGGGCACGGGGGAGGGGGGGAAGACGGACAACGACGACTTCCAGGCAAGTACCTTGAGGTCCCTCCGCTCCAGGTGCAGGAGCTCGGCACCCCGGATGTCGTGGCGCATGAAGGTGTCCTTGTACTCACAGAGACTCAGGCGCTCCAGCCAGGCGGCCACCTCCTCTGTCCCCCAGAGGTGCACTGTCGGGCGGAAACCAGGAGCCCTGAGTCCCGGGGGCAGGCGCCCCGAATCCCAGACACCCGGCGGGGCCGTGTCCACCCTGCTCGGGGCAGGACGGGGCCACACAGATTCACCCCGACTCTGGGCCCACATGCAGGGGCCCCCGGCCTCAGCGCAGGGCCCAGCCGTGCTCAAGACAGACCCCCGACCGCAGCCCTGCTGACGGCGAGCGAGTCTGTGTCTCAGGCGGCCACCAATGCTGCCCTCCCCTGCTCTGGGCGGCTGAGAAAGGGAGGGAGGGGGCGGGGCGGGGCCGTACCCGGGGCGCCCAGGCTGCTGCGCGCCTCCTTGTTCTTGTTGTTCTTCTCCTTCTTGAACTTGGGCACGAGGCGGAACTTGGCGCTGCGGCCGCGCTTGGAGAGGTCCAGCATGGCGCCCTGCAGGGGGAAGCAGGGGCTCAGGCCGTGCCAGGGTCCGAGGGCTCCCGTGGCCCGCCCTGTCCGGCCTTCCTTCCCTCCGGCTGCTTCTCTGTCCATGTCCATGTGACGCACCGCGCCTGCATGCTGAGCCCCTCAACCGGGTGCCCTGCAAGGGGGCGGGGGGGCTGCTGGCCCACCAGCTCCACCCGCTCTGCCAGCCTGAGTCTGCCTAGATTTTTCCTGTCAGAAGTGAGGGGTGGGGGGCCGGGTACTGGGTGGAGAAGGTGGGGGCTGAGTTTTTGGGGGTCCCACCTCCTCCGTCCCGGCGCCTGCAAGGCATCTGCCAGGTACACCTCCAGGTACGCAAACCCTCGCACATGGGGCCGCAAGCTTCCCCAAGCCGTGGGGCACCTTTGAGCTGACGCCTATGCCGGGCTGGGGCCGAATTCACTCATTTTTTAAAAAAAAACAGTAGAACTTAGCGGTGCAGCCAGTCTCGAGCTAGTTCCAGCCATGTCCTCTGGAGGCGCCCTGCCCGCAGCCCTGGCCCTGGACACCCGCCTGCTGGACTAACGCTGCAAGCATCTGTCCCCGCTGTTCCCTGGACACTGGCAGTGCAATCCCCCGAGAACCAGCGGCTGCGCCCGGGTCACTTCACTCTGTTTTTCATTTTTCCTTGATAGGATTTTTCCTTAACTGGACTTGCCAGAGGATCGTTTTCAAGAACCAGATCATGGATTTATCACCTTTTCCTGCTTTCGAGTGAACAACCAGGGAGGCCTGCAAAGCATCTGCTGCCACTGAGCCGCGTCCTGTCCTCCGCTAGGGCATGGGCCCCAGCAGGACAGCCACCAGCAAGCTCGGGTCCAGAAGCATCTGGTCCAGAAGCAACCACTGCACTGAGCTGGGAGCAGCCCCGAGCACTGCCCTGGCCTGAACAACACAAACTGACCCTGAACACCCCCTTCCGACGTCACGGCTGACACTGAGCCCAGGCCCTGCCTGCCTAGAGGAACACAAACCACCATGACAGG